TTAACACAAAATGAGATCGAACTGTTCTTACAGATTTTATCGAATGTTTTTATTATTATAATCTATAAATAAAATTTTGTTTTGTTGTGGAAATATTTATTGATCATTTTGAGCGCGTGTATCAGTCGATTTGATCGACTTTTTCTTGATGTTATTATTACTGTATAATTTGATTTACTGATGGGCAAACTAATTTACTTAGATTTGCCAGTAAAAACGTCTTCCTCAAAACATCTTCATCTGCTATTTTACAAAGGCAATTTAAAAGAGATCTAATCAAAAGTTTTGCTCAACTAAATGTATTCCAACGATGATGCCATATGTTCTTTCAAAAACGTCATTGATTGTTGATGCACAAAAAAAAGTAAATTTATGTATGATGTTTAATATTTCAAGGGAAAAGTTGCTGTTCGAAGTAGCAATGTATTACTATAATTAGGTAGGATGGCATGATAGTATAATAATAATAACCCAAACGGCTAATGGTTTAAATTATCTTTTCAAAAATATTTGCATTATAAATAATTTGTTAAAAAAGAAATTATTTTCTTTTATCTAAATTTAATTTGAACAAAATTTTTACACGACAAAAAAGCTTTAGATGTCTAAACTTTGATTCAAACTCCAACTAATTTAAATTTCAAATTAGTAAGTACATTTATCTATCTGTTGGATCATATATATACTTTGTTTTTTAAACACAACATTACATATTCTGAAAGTACATCAAGTTTTAGTGCTTGTATTTATGATTTTTTTCATTACTATAGAATGCGGCTTGTTCAAGCGTAACGTTGTGACGTAAAAGAAGATCCTTTTACTTCAGAGTCACTAATAAAATTGTCATTTCTCGTAAAGCTGTTATACTCGAAACAAATTCGTGAAGAACTTGGCACGCTCACAATAGGCATCGTGAGGGTGTGAGTGCGGGTGCTTTTCTTTCATATACACCCACACCCCACACCCACATCCTCAACATACCTGATTTTATTTGATATTTCTTTTCTTCATCCACTGGCTTCGGTATGGGTTTGGTTGATAGTTTTGAATCGCTTTTCAAATGTTGAGGTTTCGGTTCAGTTGAAGTAATAGTTAGTTTGACTTTCGTTTGCTTATCGAGATCTATTAATAAATGATTGGAAAGATTTTGGTCATAATATAAAAACAAGAGAAAAGAACAATTCTCACCTGACAGATTGTCTTTTTTGGATATCGAGGGTTCTTCCAATAAAACGAAGGGAGGCACAACTTGTTGGAGATGAATGATAATCAAATCAGGATCTTTCTTCGACGGTTGCAAATGACTTTTGACGATAAATTGACTGCCAGGTAAAAGCAGTATTTCATCTTCTTCTTCTAATGAAGAATGTGGACGAATCTTTTTTCCATTAAAGCATTCAATGCTAAACATTGTACGTTTTTCTTCTTGACCAAGAAATGATTCTGATTCAAGAACATGCAATGATTCAGTGCAACTTGAAAATCCCCACCACGTATATGTTTTTCCTACGACGTATTCTTTTCTTAAATCAAGACGAACACCTCTCCATACGGTCATACCACAAGAACGTAAGTTGAAAAGTGCTGTCAATAGGAGTTTCATAAATAATAGCCACGGTGTAATTAGTCTATTACGATTTTTAGATCTTAAAATCGAATTCAATACCACGTAAAGGCATTGATCACGTGGTGCCCATTCCATGGTATAGAGAAAGATCGATGCCGATTCATCCTGTGTTAGACCATCTTTCGGTGGATCACAATTACCTTTAGCAATGTAAGCTCGTCTACGTACATCAGGACAAAACTTAACAATAGGTTCGATGGCTTCTTCAAGTGAAACCAATTCGAGGGACTGATAACCTTCGATAGGTTGAAGGAGTTTGCCTGGCTCTTCACTAACATCAATAAAACGATTAAAATGAACAGTACCTTTAGCTTCTGCCATTTTTTATGTATCTTTACGTAGTGAATATAGTGCGACTTGCTGTATGAAAATGAAATGATTTCTGTTTTTCTTTAAACTCGAGCTCCTTGAATAAATAGTCGGTACGGGTTTTTTTTTCTGTCACACAGAAGTAGAAAAGAAAAAAACAACTTCTGTCTATTATTGTCCTTGCATAAGCTTGCTAGACTGCTCTTATCAATCTAAAAGCCTTTCAACTACACAAAACTTCAATAAGTAAATAAAGAAACGAAAGTAACTGAAAAAAGGGGTATGCGCAATAGTTTTCATACTGTTTTGTTTGCTTTCTTTCAAATGAAATTTTCTGTCGCCGAAATCAGTCGACTGAAGGACACAGCCCAGTCCGTAATAGATATATATATGGAGGTTTCCATGAATTTTATTCAAATAGTTGTATAATATCAATCAAATATAAGATACTCAGATTTAATTCATAAACGAAACAATCATTATATGAAAGTATGTTTCTTGTTTTCTCGCTTAAAAAAAGAAAAGGCAACACAAAGTATATAGTAAAATATACATACACATACACATACACACAAGAAAGAAATGCCTACAGTCTAGAGAAGAAACCGGTGTTGCTGTTGTTTTTTGTTTTTACAATATGATACAGAAGTCCACGAGAAGAATTACATCACAATGTTGCTTGATTATTTTTATTGTCAATAATTGTTTGCTGTGATGACATCATATTATTATTATCTGTATTATTATTTGTATCATTTGTTGTTTGTTGTTGTGTTGTTATCCATGTTAAACGTTCTTCATAGAATTTGATAACAACTTGTGGACATTTTATATTACATATACGTGACGGAACAAGATCAGCTTCGCTTGTACCTTTCCATTGAACTAATAACATTAATTCACCTGTTGCATCTGTAGCTCCGAGTATTTTTTCAGCTTCATATCCTCGATCAAATGCTGATGCTTCTTCAATACGTGTTGTTGATGATGTTTGTTGTTTCGAATAATTACTTCGATCAAGTGGTGGTCGACCACGTTTATTATGTACTGGTGCTTGATCAAGAGATGGTTTACGTTTAAGTGTTGATGATTCATTATTCATATAGCGAGTCTTTTGTAGTAGACGATTTTCATATTCTTCAATTAAATCTGGACAATCTAAATTTTGATGAGGTTCCTAAGAAATAAATATTGTTTTATATGTCAAAAAAAAACCATGAACAAAAGATTAGTTTTTTACCCAAGTATTTTCTTCTTCGGGATAACCTTTCCAAGCAAGTAAATATTCTTTACGTCCATTACGAAAACGATGACTAACTATACGTTCAACAATAAATTCTTCACCTTCATCACCACCACCACCGACACCAAGCATTTGCTGTTTATCTCCAGTAGGATTATTCATTATGTATTGAATAAATTGGTAACAGAAAACAATTTGAATGGCAACACTGAGATGAAGGAGGAGAAGAGAAAAAAATTGCTTTTCACCAATCAATTAATGAGAATAAATACACAAAGATGGAAGAAAAACGAGAATCTTCAAATTTAATTAAACCAATCAAAAGTTAATTGAACATTTTTTAAAATAATGTTTTTTAGAATTTGTTTTACTTGAACTTTTAAATGATAATATTTATAAAGTTGTAAATGATAGAAATATTTCTACGGTAGATGTCTCACAGTTGATGTATCATAATAAGTGGTTTAACAATAAACCAATCGAGTAAACTTTTACAATTATGGTTATGGATGGTTATTTATATCATAAAATTTGTTTTTTTCTAGAAAGATTTTCGATCATGGCTCTTCGATTACTTCTATCGAATCGTTTAACAATACCTCAACGAAATTCATGGACAAGATTTTCTCGTTATTATACACCACTTGCATTTGAATATCGTTCAATAACACCTACCAATTCATCTATATATTCTCATCAACATACATACCGTACATCATTACTATCAACACATCGTCAATATCATCTTTCGTTTAAATTTGCTTCATCATCAAATCCATCAGGTTCAAAAGATGGCAATACTCCATCATCTTCAAATGATGGTAAAAATCGAAATGATGATGATCATGATGCTGACGGAATTCATGAACCTACTGATAATACGGTTCCAGTCGTTATTCAAGCAGGAAATCCACTGATGCCAGTTGAAGTACCAGAAAATTATCCAATTGTTCCATTGATACCAGTTTCACGTCATCCATTATTTCCAAAATTTATAAAAATGCTTGAAATCACAAACAAAGATTTAATGGAATTGATACGACGAAAAGTAAAATTGAATCAACCGTATGCTGGCATATTTTTACGTAAGGAAACATCAACAACAGATGAAAAATCATCTACAAGCGAACCGAAAACACCTGAATCAATGAAAGATAAACTGATGAAAACAGTAACAGCAGATGTAGTTAAAAATCTTGATGAAATTTATCAAATTGGTTCATTTGTACAAATTCATGAAGTACATGATATGGGTGATCGTTTACGAATGATTGTTATGGCTCATCGACGAATTAAAATTGTTGGTATCGCACCAGATGATGTAGCCATTGAAGATGTAGATCGACGACGTGCTCAACCAAAATCAAATGGTAATCGTAGACGACCAAGACGAAAAGGTTCATTAGATATAGATGATTCTGTTATAGCAGAAGAAACATCTACTGAGCCTTCACCACCATCACCAACTGACAAACAAGAACCCATTGTAGTCAATAAAATTTTAATGATCGATACAGAAAATGTTATACATGATGATTACGAACAAACACCCGAACTTAAGGTATGATAGCATCTACGACGATAATCAATGTAAGTTAATTTTTCAGGCCATCACTGCAGAACTTGTCAAAACTATTCGAGATATTGTTGCATTAAATCCATTCTACAGGTAAAAAATAGAAAAGTTTTATAATGAAACCTGAAAGTTTTTTTTTCTCTCCAGAGAATCAATTGCTGCACTTATTCATAGTGGTCAACGAGCTGATCACCCTGTATATTTAAGTGATTTAGGGGCAGCTCTTACAAGTGCTGAAGGTGAAGAACAACAAGCTATTATGGAAGAAATGAATGTAAATATCTATTGTCTATAGAGAAATCTATTTTTTTTAATTTTATTTACCTAGATTCCAAATAGATTAATGCTTACATTAAATTTATTAAAAAAAGAATTAGAAATGAGTCGTCTTCAACAGAAAATTGGTAAAGAAGTTGAAGACAAAGTGAATAAACAACATAGAAAATTTATGTTAATGGAACAATTGCGTGTTATTAAAAAAGAATTAGGACTTGAAAAAGATGATAAAGAAGCAATGAATGATAAATTTCGTACGAGACTAAAAGTATTGACTTTTTTTATTATATTCTAAAGTCAAATTTTCATTTTTAGGAACTTACTATACCACCACATGTTAAAACAGTTATTGATGAAGAATTAGATCGATTAAATGTTCTTGAAAAACATTCAGCTGAATTTAAGTTCGTTTGATCTTAGGTTCCAACGAACAACGTTTTTGATTATATCCTATATTTTTGTGTCTAGTATTTGTACAAATTATCTTGATTGGTTAACCAATATTCCATGGGGTAAAATAAGTGAAGAGAAAACTGATCTTGATCGTGCACAAATTATACTCGATGAAGATCATCATGGAATGGAAGATATTAAGAAACGAATTCTTGTAAAAAAAAAAATTTTTCGAGCTAAGAAAAGTGAGAGACTTGCTTTTAGGAATTTATTGCTGTAAGTCATTTGAAAAAATCAACACATGGAAAAATTCTTTGTTTCTATGGGCCACCTGGTGTTGGAAAAGTAAGTCGATTCAAAAGATATTTTTATCTGTCAATCTACAGAAAATAAAAATTTAGACTAGTGTGGCTAAATCAATTGCACGTGCACTTAATCGAGAAGTAAACTAATTTTGTATTTTAAAACCAATTGAAATCGAATTTTTGCTCTCTAGTATTTTCGATTTAGTGTAGGAGGAATGCATGATACTGCAGAAATTAAAGGTCATCGTCGAACTTATGTCGGTGCCATGCCAGGAAAAATGATTCAATGTTTAAAAAAAACGAAAACAGAAAATCCACTTGTATTAATTGATGAAATCGATAAAATTGGTCGTGGTGGTTTTCATGGTGATCCATCAGCTGCTCTACTTGAAATGCTTGATCCCGAACAGAATGCAAATTTTCTTGATCATTATCTTGATGTTCCTATTGATCTATCCAAAGTATTGATGTCTAGATATTGAAAAGCATCTATAAAATTTTATCATTTTAGGTACTATTTATATGTACAGCTAATGTTCTTGATACTATTCCTGAACCATTGCGAGATCGTATGGAAGTTATTGAAGTATCTGGATATGTTGCTGAAGAAAAATTAGCTATTGCAAAAGTATTTATTTTATTCATCACGATAAACATTTATAGGTGCAAAATCTTAAATTTAGAATTATTTAATTCCACAAGCAAGTAAACAAACAGCTATTAAGAGCGATATTATTGAAATAACTGATAAAGCTTTGATGTATCTCATAAAAGCTTATTGTCGTGAAAGTGGCGTTCGAAATTTACAAAAACATATTGAAAAAGTAAATGAAAATTAGTTTTCCTTTGTTTTTTTAAATGACAATAAATTTATAGATATTCCGAAAAGTTGCCTTCAAAGTTGTTAAAGAAGGTGAAAAGAAAATGATTATTGATGAAGGAAATCTTCACGAGTTCGTTGGAAAACCAGTATATACATCCGATAGAATGTATGAATTAACACCACCGGGTGTTTCTATGGGCCTTGCATGGACAGCTAATGGTATGTGGAATTGTGACACAGAATAAAGAAATGTCTGATAATTTTTAGGTGGAAGTGTGCTTTTCATCGAATCACGTTTTACTAATCCTATCGATGCGTTCGATGTATCGAGCAGTGATGAAAAAGCTGATAAAACTAGTGGAGCATCTGGTAGTTTAATATTAACAGGTAAATTAGGTGATGTTATGAAAGAAAGTTGTACAATTGCGTTAACTTATGCAAAATCATTTTTACAACAACTCGATCCAAAGAATCGATCATTACGTGTTGGTCATATACATGTACACGTGCCAGAAGTAAGTATCGAAAAAAATGACATATCTTATTTTTCTCAATTATTTATTATTAGGGAGCAACACCAAAAGATGGTCCATCAGCTGGCTGTACAATAGTAACAGCACTTCTATCACTTGGCTTAAATAAACCAATAAGACAAGATGTTGCTATGACTGGTGAAGTATCATTAACTGGTCGAGTTTTGCCAGTTGGTGGTATAAAAGAAAAAGTCATTGCTGTATGTTTAAATTTAGATTTTTAATCCCATTTATTTTAGTTAACTTTATTTCTAGGCCAAACGAGCAAACGTTCATACAGTTATACTACCGTACGAAAATCAAAAAGATTATAACGACCTTCAAGATTTCATTAAAGATGGGCTCATCGTTCATTTTGCTAAAACATACGCTGATGTTTATAAAATTATATTCGATGATCAATAAACAGCAAAAATGATTACTATGTAAACATGAAAACTATTGAAAAAAAAAAGTTTTTTTTGCATCGTCAATAGCTTGTTTTTTTGTTTTTTTTTGTTCTGTTCTCTGTTATCCATTTTTCATTCTTTAATACATTATATATTTGGCAGTCCTTTGTTAGCTAAGATATAAAAAAAAAATACCAATTAGTAATATAACGAACAAGTAGATGATCATAAGACACACCCTCAACGGGTTCGACCCCCCTGATTTATGTCTGACGTCATTCTAGTTTGTTTTTCTTCTTCCGACATCAAGACTTAAAGGAAGAGAGTGAGCAAAAAAAGCGGTTGACGCGAGTCTTTTATTTTTCTGGAAGCAATCAGTAATGCGGTGTGAGTAGAACATACGCTTGTTGCTCTTTATTATTTTTCACGAGAAAAGAAAAAAAATGGATTGGCATTGGTTGATGATATTTCTTTTTGTTTGCTTGTACTCTCTCTCTCTCTCTCTCCGTTTCGCCTTGTACAATCGTAGAGAAAAACATTGAGGCCTATTTATAAGCCATCGTTCTCTTGTGCTACAATCATTTGCAATTTTGAGGTAAGAAAAATACAATGTATCGAAAAAACGTTTTGAAGACAATTGTAAAAATAGTATCTTTCTTTTGAAAGATAGAAACAGTGAGTTTTGATTCCATTTCCAGATATGTCGATTCTATCACGAGCTGTGTGCAATCACACGGGATCATTAAAAATAAATGCTACATGGAATCCTATGTATCGATTGATCAATAGTATTCGATCTTCATCAACAGATTCGACAGATGAACAAGAAGATCCCGGGTATTGATTTATGATTAAAGATTTTCTCTGCTTATTTGAATAAGCATTTTTCTTCAATAGATCTGGTTTCTATACTATGGTAGAGAAATTTTATGATCGCGCAGCTAAACTTCTTGAAGATAAATTAGTCAATGATATGCACAAATCTAAATTAAGCGAAGAACAAAAGCGTATAAAAGTAAGAGGAGTATTAACTATGATGAAACCACCCAATTATGTTTTGGCGATCACATTTCCTATTCGACGGGATAATGGTGAATGGGACATGATTGAAGCATGGCGAGCTCAACATTCATTACATCGAACACCATGTAAAGGTGGTATTCGATATTCCATGGATGTCAATTTAGATGAAGTCAAAGCATTAGCTGCTTTAATGACATTTAAATGTGCTTGTGTAAATGTACCATTCGGAGGTGCCAAAGCCGGTGTTAGAATCAATCCAAAAGGTAAACAAAAATAAGAAACCGTATAAATTGATTTCTATGTTTTTACTATTATAGAATGGTCGGAAACGGAATTGGAACGTATTACACGACGTTTAACAGTTGAATTAGCTAAAAAAGGTTTTATTGGACCTGGTATTGATGTTCCAGCGCCAGATATGGGTACGGGTGAACGTGAAATGGCTTGGATAGCTGATACATATGCATCGACTGTCGGCTGGGAAGATTTAAATGCATATGCATGTATTACTGGTAAACCTATTTTACAAGGTGGTATTCATGGACGAACATCTGCTACGGGTCGTGGTTTATATCATGGTGTAAATAATTTTGTTAATGAAAAATTCTATATGGATAAAATTGGCTTGACAACTGGTTTAGCTGGAAAAACATTTATTGTTCAAGTAATTTATGAAGAAAAAAACATGTAGAAAGAACTTCTTATTTTTTCGTTTTAGGGTGCTGGTAATGTCGGTTACCATTCTATGCGTTATTTAACACGACATGGTGCAAAATGTGTTGGTGTTCTTGAATGGGACGGAGGTATTGTTAATCCAGATGGTATTGATCCAATAGCATTAGGAGAATATAAATTTGAGCATGGAACGATTGTTGGATTTCCAGGCGCTAGAGCTTATGATAAAGATCCAAAAGAAGATCTACTTTGTGAAGCATGTGATATTCTTATACCAGCTGCTAGTGAACAACAAATAACATCGAAGAATGCTAGACGAATCCGAGCAAAGGTTAGTTTAACTTTCAAGTTTTCTAAAGAAACCAACTTCTTTTTTTGTTTCTCTCATTTTAAATCAGATCATCGCTGAAGGCGCCAATGGACCAACAACACCAGCAGCAGATAAAATTCTGCTTGAAAAAAATGTTTTAGTCATTCCTGATATGTATGTTGTAAGTATATTGACTTTGGTAAGAAAGAAAAAAGGTGATTGATTATCTTACAGAATGCCGGTGGTGTTACAGTATCGTATTTTGAATGGCTTAAAAATCTTCAACATACATCCTACGGTCGATTGACATTTAAATATCAACGAGACACAAATTATTCGCTTCTTGGTAAAACGAATAATCTTTTTTTAATGCAATTGTTGTTCTTCTTCTTCTATTTAGAAAGTGTTCAGAGTTCATTAGAAGCTAAATTTGGTAAAATGGGAGGAAAAATTCCAATTGTGAGTAGGAAACATTTTTCGATAACATGAAAAAAACGACAACTATTTTCTACTCTACCGTGTCTTAGTTACCAAGTAAATCATTTTCTAAACGTATGGCTGGTGCATCGGAAAAGGATATTGTTCATTCTGGTCTTGAACAAACCATGGAAAAATCTGCACGTGCTATTATGGAAACAGCTCAAGCGTACAAATTAGATTTAGATTTACGCACAGCTGCCTATGTAACATCTTTAGAAAAAATTTACAATGTCTATTCAGCCGCTGGTATGACCTTTGGCGTTTAATAATTGATCAGTATTGAATTAAAAAAACGAATTAAAATTTTTTTTTTTCTGTTTTCAAGTAACGAGAGCTAAACAAAAAATAGTGTCTTTGTTGTATACTTTTTAATTTTCCAAGTTTATTTTAATTGACAAAAGCAAATGACCGATCCAATTCGAATAAATGTATTTTTAGATAAACCATGTTGAAAGCAGGAATACGTCATAGTAAAACATTACAACAAGCATCGACGTATTCGATTATTCGTTTTTCATCTCATGCGTCAACACAAAAACAAAGTGGACATGGCAACTCTGGCTTTTATCGACAAGTGGAATTATTTTATGATCGCGCAGCAAAAATACTCGAAGAAAAATTAGTTGCCGATATGCACAAATCGAAATTAACAGAAGATATGAAGCGTAAAAAAGTTCGAGGAATATTAAAAATGATTAAACCATGCAATCATGTTTTGGAAATTCGATTTCCTATACGAAAAGACAATGGAGAATTGCAGATGATTGAAGCATATCGTGCACAACATTCACAACATCGAACACCATGTAAAGGTGGTATTCGATATTCCCTGGATGTCAATTTAGATGAAGTCAAAGCTTTAGCTGCTTTAATGACATACAAATGTGCTTGTGTTGATGTTCCGTTCGGTGGAGGAAAAGCTGGTGTTAAGATTAATCCAAAAGGTAAATAAATAATCAGGAAGCAATTGTTCACTGTAATTTTCAATGCCTATTATTTTGTAGAATGGTCTGAAAAAGAATTGGAACGTATTACACGACGTTTAACAGTTGAATTAGCTAAAAAAGGCTTCATTGGACCTGGCATTGATGTTCCAGCGCCAGATATGGGCACGGGTGAACGTGAAATGGCTTGGATTGCTGACACCTATGCATCGACCGTTGGCTGGGAAGATATTCATGCATATGGTTGTGTGACAGGTAAACCTATTCTCAGCGGTGGCATCCATGGACGAACATCTGCTACGGGTCGTGGTTTATATCATGGTGTAGATAATTTTGTTAATGAAGCTTTATTTATGTAATTAAATAACAAAGACAATTTTTAGATTCTTTCATTTTTAAGTTATGATTTAGGGGAATGGTTGGTCTTCTACCGGGTCTTGCTGGTAAAACATTTATTGTTCAAGTAATTTATGAAGAAGAAACACATAGAAAGAAATTATTATTCTTTATTTCTAGGGTGTTGGTAATGTTGGTTATCATTCAATGCGTTATTTAACACGACACGGTGCAAAATGTGTTGGCATACTTGAATGGGATGGAGCCATTGTTAATCCAAATGGTATTGATCCAAAAGCATTAGAAGAATATAAACTTGAACGTGGAACCATTGTTGGATTTCCAGGTGCGCAACCTTATGATAAAGATCCAAAAGAATTACTCTGTGAACAATGTGATATTCTGATACCAGCTGCAAGCGAACAACAGATCACAGTTGATAATGCACATCGTATTAAAGCTCGTATTATCGCTGAAGTAAAACGTTGTTTTTTACCTTTCTTTTTCAATGTTGAATTCTTTTTTTCAATATTTGTAGGGTGCTAATGGTCCAACAACACCAGAAGCTGATCAAATTCTAATGAATAATAATGTACTGGTCATTCCAGGTATATTGAAAACTAGATAAGATAAGAATTTTCTAACTAATTTCTTATAGATCTATATATCAATGCTGGTGGTGTCACAGTCTCGTATTTTGAATGGTTAAAAAATTTAAGTCATGTCAGTTATGGTCGATTAACATTTAAATATCAACGTGATACAAATTATTCACTTCTCGGTACATTTTTTCTAAATAGACTTTTTCCAAGTATTTTGTTTTGTTAATTTTCTTTTTTCTTAGAATCTGTACAAGGTTCATTGGAAGAAAAATTTGGTAAAATGGGAGGCAAAATTCCAATTGTGAGTAGAAAACATTTTTCAACAACAAGAAAAAATCACAATCATTTTCTGTCTTATCGTGTCTTAGTTGCCAAGTGAAGAATTTTCTAAACGTATGGCTGGTGCATCAGAAAAAGATATCGTACATTCCGGTCTTGAACAAACTATGGAAAAATCTGCACGTGCTATTATGGAAACATCGTTGCGTTATAAACTTGGACTTGACATTCGTACAGCAGCATATGTCAATGCGATTGAAAAGATCTATAATATTTATGTTAGTGCTGGTATTACATTTGGAGGATAGATTGGTTGTATTTTGTTCGTAAATTTGTTTTCTTTTTCGTCATAGAATAAAAAGTGAATTCTTCTTTTTTTCTGTATCAATTATTTTCTGTCATCATTCCCAATTAAATTTTATTTTTTACATTACTTATTTTCTAATAATATTTTCATGGTCAATCGCGTGGTGTTCTTTTTATTATTATCGTATTGACAAAAAATAAAACTTATTCAAATCGATTTATGTAAAATAAATTTCCGAATTTTTACTTTCATGACCACACCCACATTGTAAATCGAATAGATGGAATTAAGTATACCATCCACTCTATTCAACAATTTTTGAAATGAGCTTTGTAGAAAATGTTTTATGGTTGTCATGGAAGACCTACGAAACGCACTTTCTATGGGATCAATCTTCATTCGTAAAAACTCTCAATAAATTTACAAAGACAAATTTAATTATTTGATTGATTGAAATGTCATATTCCATTGCTTTTCCCTCATGATTATTCAAAGAAGGATTGTATAAACTTTCTAAAAAGCTTAATATAACGCATATTTCAGTTCGGCTTCTGGTATTATTCTAAAGCAAAACGTCACACTTGCCAGTTAGAACATTCCTTTCGTCAATTCATCAGCAACAGTCTGAATCCAATATTGATCTGCAAACTAATTTGACCTCCAAGATCGAACCTTCATCTCAATTAGGACGCTTATAGATATGTATATATCTGTAAGTTTCTACTATTTAGATGATTAGCTTTCCCTTTTCTTGAATTTCTGTCTATAATTGGTATACGATTACCAAGTAAATTATGATGCAATAGTGGTAAACAGAATAATAAATACGATGATGGTTATGCAAATAGTCCTTCATGTTCATAAGAATATACTCATCAATTGATATATATATATATATAAATTTCTAGTTGAATAATTAGCAGTTCAATCTGTTGGATATATATTCATATTATACATTGATGTCAAATAGATCTGCTTACATAAATCAGATAGAAAACAGATGAACTCATTCATCTTGTCATGACATTCATTTTCTTTTATTTAATTTCTTTGATATAAATATTATTTTATACAAATAAACAGCAACGTGATAATAAAAAAAGTTTAGTAATAATAATAATAAAAGATGAAGATTGTATTACAGAACTATTCAATGAGAACAAACAAACAAACAAACAAACAATAGATAGATATAAAGATAAATGATAAGACAACAGCCTTAAAAAGGAAAGAAAACAAAAGATTTCTACTAATCACCGGCAATGGCTGTCGATAGAGTATATTAGGTTTTTTTTTCTACAAAGATAACTAAAGCGAAGAACAAAAACACTAGCCTATAGATTTTATTTTTCTTCTCTCGAATCAATTTTTTTCAAGTACATCCTTATTCATTCATCATATGGACTTGTATGAACAATCGCATATTTATCATTCTTAATATGTATTCGAAACTTCGATTTATCCGTTTGTAATCCACAACAGAAACAGCAACTAAGGATTGTTGTAAATAAATTTGTACCAATAGCAGCGACTACAATCCAAAAAGCTAAACCTAAACGCTCGACATTAATAATCCATGGATTTAATGCTAGAATTAACGATTGATTTTGATTTAATTCATATGTAAAATCAGGTCGATATGTACGTTCATATATCCATTCGTATAAAAATATTCCTAAACCACCCGAACCACTTATAAATGACAATAAGGAGAATAAACTAACGAATGCAAATGGTATTGAATAAAATCGATCAATACAATTTACACAAAATAATATTAATAAAGACATTAATGTTAATAATGGTGCAGCAACAAATAAAAGAAGCATTACATAATGACGTAAGCGTTTTAAATAATGATGAAAATCTCGTGGTGATGTTGAATACGATGATAAATAGCGTGGTATATCTTCATTATCAATGGTTATTGGATGCCATATGCAATTTCCTTCTTTCCAATAGTAGCGTGTTTCATTGAATGGACGATTGCATCCATGTTCATCGGCATAGGATGGACAATCGGGTATGTTATTGCATCTTTTCATCTGTATAGAAAAATATTTAAAAAAGAAAAACAATATTTTTTATAAATGAACATTCAAAAACATACGCAACATCCTGTTTCAGGACAGGTCGATGGCGAATCACATTGTGGACAATATAAATCTTTATTAGATTTTGATTTTATTGTAAATAAATAAAGCCATTTATAATCTATGCAATAACCAAATAGACCATAATGTGAACGAAATCCATGACGAATAAATAGACTTTCGAATTGAACGTTATTATTGTTATTTAATTCCATGTATTCTTCTTGTTGTTTATTTGTTGAATTGTGTTGATCCATTAAATTTTTATCAATAAAACTCCAACGTATACTTATTAATCCATAAGTATATAAACCAATGGATACCAGCATTGGCAAGACAATGTTGATAACAAGAATACTAACCTTCATTATTGATTTGCTAATCTGAAGAAAAACAAATATATTTATAAAAAAATAATAATTGATACTCATGCTGAGTATACGCTCTTAACTGGTGGTTCGGACAATTCATCATTTTCCATAAACAATATATAGGTCTCTCTCTCTCTTTCGTGAGGGATATTCTACAATGACTGTTTGTTGAACGTTGTTAACCTTTTCTTTTCTTCTTCTTCTTTCGCTCTCTCGTTGAATGATTTCTTTTTCGTCTATTTTCGAGAAACATGTACAGAAAAAAACGTATATTAAATAAAAGAAGCAAGGCACTAGCAGTTTACACAAGCACGTCGTTTTGCTAGTGTTCCTGTTCAATCGACCACTGTAAACGAAAGAAGGGCGCATAAACACTTACAATAGCAATCAATGAACGTATGTACATATGGGCGTGCATCTACCCCTACTGGCTAGTCATCACTCACGTGCATACATGGATAAGTCGATTACGTATTCGTCATTCAATCTTATATCGTCGACACATATAAAATACGATGAATGGTTCATCTAATTTATTTGCGTATACCCACAATCCTTCGAGACTTCTACAGTTATACTAACTATATATAAATATATACACATACACAACACATGCAGTGTACAGGAGAGGTAATTTGAGGCAGACTGACATAAAATATAAAAGAACAAAAATGTGCGTGACCACAAATCTTTTTCCAATTTGATGAAAGGCAACCATGATAGTGATTTATAATCTGTAATAGGTCGAAGGAGTTTTCATCAATACAATAGTGAATCCTTGAAAATCTTACGTAATAACTATGTTATCATTTATTATTTTAATACTAATAAAATGCAATCAAGCAGTACATCGAAAGATAGAGAAAAATGCCTATGATGATAAATATGATAACGTTAAAAAAAACTACATATTCATACTCACAGATAGGCAATGATTGAAAATAAAACAACGATAGCTGTAGGAGCACAAGAGAATGAATGACTGATGAAAGAGAGAATGAGAGAGAGAGAGAGAAGAGAAATAGGGGAGAAGAGGAAAAAGAGAGAAAAAAACCCAGATAAAGCCATCAATCGAGCTTCTGTGAACAAGTATTGACATAATACAATCCTAACGATAGTTTTATAGTAATATTTCAAATAATTGTTAGATTACATGCAGGTTCTTAGATTAGTTAATTAGAATTTTGATGACTAGTATTGTCTACTGATTTGAACGAAAATCGATCATTGATTAATGATTGAGACAAAAATCATACAGATGTTATTCATATTGAATCCGATGAATCGTTCATACAGAAAGTAATGCTAACCAGGATCATATGATCACATAGACTGAACAAGTTCGTCAGAGAACAACTGACATTATTTGAATGCACATGTTCATAATCCCGGATTATTTTTGCATACATTAAGTTGAAGTATAAATGTTAAATACGAGAAAGTAATTTTAGCATGCTATTACGTTTTATTTAATAATAAGAACAACTCAATCCATGTTCAAGAATCATTTTTTGTTTCAATATTCTTTCTTTAAGTCCTTGAACAACGGCATCTAATCTAATTGATGGCAAGGGCAAAAGACGAAGCTACCTTGATTGCATAGATTTACAACAAGGTCAATTGAATTGGTGTGATGAAATTATAGAGAACTCGTTCGATGAATAAACTGAAACAAGGATGAAACAAACAGACGACATCATATGTATGAAATATGAAATGATTGTCTATGTGAGTTCGTCTAGATTTATAATGTTAGTTAGCGCCGTCTGTCGATTGATTCATCGATTTGAACAGACCAACGCCTCTTATATTCTAAGAGAAAGAAGAAGAAGAAAAAAAAACGCCACAGCCACTTCGGTCAATCATTCGATTTTTTTCTCTTTGACACAACAACAGAACTTCATTTGGCATTTTCTATATATTTCGATAAAGAATCATCATGACTGATACACGAACCCTTTCTTCATCTTCGTCTTCAATAACAAATCATGTTAATGGTACAAATACAGTTTCATCAGCACCTTCTGATGTAAACAATGTCAACGGTTTAACAGAATATGTAAGCTTTATTTTTATACGCAAATTTGATAATTTATTCCTCGATATGAAATAGGTGAATACAATATTTCGTCAAATGGAAGAAAAATTTCATACTGCAAGCGATCAAGTAATGAACCGTATGAACGAATTAGGTAGAAAAATTGATACACTGGAATCAAGTCTTGGTGATATTATTTCACATATTCCATCGGAAGAATCAGCAACAACAGGATCACCACAATCTGTAACAGCAACAACTGCACAACAATGAAGAAGCAAGAAAAATCAAATTTTCAGTTTCATTCTTCTTTTTTCTTAATATCATGTACACGCATAGGACATTGATGTTTCTTTTTTTTCTTCACTCATTTTAAACTTCCATTTTTTATAGATAAATTTTGAATATGTATGAACTAAGATAAAAATAAATCGAATAATTACATGTGTTTTGTTTGTAAAACAATCGATTAACATTTTTCATTAAGTTTCTTTTCGATGACTCATCTGACGATGTTAATTCAAGCTTAACTTAGTTACAGACGACATCGAGATTGTTTTTTAAGAACACTTGAACATAAAGTCTATTGTATTCAAAGTTGATCAAGATATTCAACTTGTGAATAGAATGACTTTATATTTAGTAATTTAATCTTGTTGTCTTCGACTGAATACATGCATAATTCATGAAATAGTATTTTAAAATGAAAAGGATGGGATGATAATAGACGAAAAAAATATGCAGTATTTTATTTTTCAATGGGCCATATGACAAGTCATTTGGTCTGTTTAACTAATGATATACATATTATGAAATATCTTCTGTTGCTAGGGCATGAATCGCAAATAGAATATTTTTTCTCTCTTAAGAAACTCATATCATCATATAGTTGGGTTTTGTTATCTTTTCGTTTTTATCTACTTCCAGCACGACCCCCAGGGTGTGTGTCTTACATTTTTGTTTCTAATATAAAAAAAAGTATTATTTAACATTACTTTTGCTTATAAATATTCTCTGTTTACAGATGTTAATTGGCATATTATTTACTATTGTTACACTTGTAACAGTATCAGCTAGTGATAGAGTTGCAGCTGATACGAATCATTTAGATGGTAATTATTATATGTTTATACCCGATACTGGTAACCAATACGTTTTTAATATTTTCTTCTCACATCCATTCAATCGTTATGTTGTCACTGTAACCGCACAAACATTGGCTTGGGCAACAGCAACATTAAATATCGTTAATGATACTTCAGTAACTCTCGTTTGCGATAATGGTGATACTTTACCGGGTATAATAACATATCCAACAGATTTACCATCGATATGTTGGCCAACATCAAAAGATTTCACTTGTTGGACTCGTCTTTTATCAAATGTAACACGTATACACGTTGTTAATATGTAAATTATTTATTTATTTATTTAATGTATCAGAATGAATTCGTTGCTTTTTTTTATAGGAACCATTTAGATGTTGGTTACAATGGTATTCCAGCTACTGGCTTTATTAATAATATTCTTAATATTTATTTTCATCAATATTTTCCTCGTGCAGCTATTTTAGCTGAACAAATACTTCATATATCACCCAAGGATTCATTTATATATACAACACATCCATGGTTACTTAGTATGTTTTTTGATTGTCCACCAAATTTAGTTCTTGCTGGAATCAAATTACTATGTCCGTCAAGTGATGAACTGGCATTAGTTGAAAGAGCAATACGTCTTGGTGCTATAACATGGCATGCTGGCGCTATGAATATGCAATACGAATGGATGAATGAACAAGTACTAAATCAATCATTAGATTTATCAGTTGCATTAGCAAAACGTTTTAGTGTTCCTGTTCCATGTGTTGTCAGTGTACGTGATGTACCAGGAGTTCCAATAGCAATGATTCGATCACTAAATCAATATTTTTCAGAACATTGCTCATCTAAACCTATGGTTACAGTTGGAGTTAATGCTGGTAAGAAGGACATTTTTTTTTTATCTCAGAGAGAATATTGACTGATGAGATTTTAGCGGTCACTGATTATGATGTACCCAATGGTTTATTTCGATGGGGAACAAGTCAAGATTCTTATGTAATTGGAACATGGCATTCATATGGTTTGTATTTAATACAATAGATGAAAAAAGAAACTCTAATCTGATTACTTTAGGTTATCCAAATAATCCTGGTTCAGTATTTACAAATCCAGGTGGTTTATCTCTCGATGATATTATTATTGTTCCACAAATTGGAATTGGTTTAGCATTTGCATTTCGTACTGATAATCAAGGTAAATTCAAGGTTTCTCATATTATTAGTTTTATTTTCATTAAAAATGAATTAGGTCCACCTATGTCAATTAGTGAAATCCATCAAAATCATGAAATTCTTCGCCAATCGTATCCAGGCGCAGAAATAATTTCATCATCGCTTCAAAATTTTCTTGAAGATATATCGGGTGTAACTGATGAACTTGCATTATTCGATGGTGATATATCTGATTCGTGGTTACAAGGTATTGGATCAGATCCAAAACGTGTCCAACAATATCAAGCAGTACAAAGAGCTTTAACTACTTGTTTTGAACGTAATTTATGTTCAAAGAACGACGAAGAATTGATTGATGGTAGTCGATATCTAGTTAAAATTCCTGGTAAATAAAAATATGATCTTTATACAATGCATGACGTAATAGAAATGTCTGTGCCAAGTAAAATAGTAGTTTTGATACAATCTCTTTAGGTTTCATCCAAGAACTTAGAATTTGAAGTTTTTAGTCATCATAAATGAGTGAAATATCTGGTTTGATTTATTTTCTAGAACATACTTGGGGTTTACCATCAGTTTATGATCAAGTCAATTGGAGTAATAAACAATTTCAAACCGTTATTAACACGCAATCGTTCAATAATTGTCGACTCGCATGGCTTGAACAACGAAAATTTTTCGATTTATATTTAGATACAGTTCATGATCATCCAGTGTATAATATAATACAACAAGAACTTAATGCTGCATTCAGTAATGTAGCAAGACCAAATTTAGCTCGTTTCAAGCCTGTTTCATCAACAGAAACATTCGTACTTTTTCGAGCTTCATCAAATCCACTTTCTGTTACATTTGATCAAAATTTAGGCTCAATTTCAAATTTAACTCGAAGTGACAAACTTTTTTGGGCGGACGGAAATTCTCAATTAGCAACTTATACTTACATTACTTATAATGAAACTGATTTCAATCAATTATCAATTACATATGGAAATCCAGGTATAAAATAATTTCTATCTTAAAGTGAACCTTGAAAATGAAATGAAATGATAATTATACATTAAACAGAGTTAATTCAATGTATAAATAATACATATAGTGTAATGATGAAAATCATAGATGAATAAGTAAATGATCTCGCCAATAGAATTCAGCTTCATACTGGCATTCGATTTTTTGCATTGATCGAAATCATTAAAATTATGGTAGAAAATTTTTAAAATAACTGAAATCTATTCTCGTATCACGTTTCATGCTCAATCTCTGAGAAAGCCAATAACGTTCAAAAATATTCGAAATACTCTCTCAGCGTTCAGATTAAGTGCCTTTCGAGCAGATTAAAACTTCTATTCTTACTTTAATTTTTAGGTTATGATAAGCCAAATTCTACAGCAAATGCTAATCCTGTTTCAATGGTTTGGTTACCAAAATTGCAACAATTGTTTCGATCCCGAACTGACGAAAACACTTTTCTTGCACAATTAAAACTTGATCCCAATGCTGTTAATTTATACGGTGGTTTCAGTGAAATATGGCTAACATATACATTTGCCGATGAAACAACACTTGAACTTGAATGGTTAGGTTTAAATAAAACAGCGACACGTCTTGCTGAAGCATCAATGCTTAAATTTTTACTTCCCATGAAACCATCTTGTTCATTGGTTCAATATGATACGAAAGTCGATGTTCAACAAGCTGCTGGCAAAACTTCATATTATCAACGAGGTGTTGATTCATTTTCATGTCAAACAAGTTTATCTTCAAAATGTTTCGCTACTCTTCATGTTAAATCCTACGATGCACCGATCGGTTAGTACAAAAGTTAATGATTTTTCTTTCTGAAGCAAATGTTCCTTTTGTTTAGCCTGTCCGATCTTAAATGGTAAAGAGCCAACAGCTCTCCCATTTCCAGCACCAGGAAGTTCGCCACCATTAGATGGTATGGCTTATAATTTACATAACAATGTCTGGAATACGAATTACATTTATTGGTATCCACTGGTTTCTGGCGATGAGTCATGGCGAGCTCGATTTTTAATTAATTTTGATGGATCATGTAGTTAATGAAATCGATTTCTTTCTAATTTGATTTCTATATTTGTGATACTAATTTTAATTTCTTGATTTTTCTTTTTCAAAAATAACTATAAAGGTGTTTTGATAGTATATTACTAATATAATAAAAAAGAAACAACTCTCGAATTAAGATTTACAAAAATCCTGCTATGACAATGACATCCAAGATTTGTTTGAATGGAATTTAAGATAATTGATCACGAGATAAGACATTCTCAATTCAATTAAAAAATGAATGTTGTTGAATCTCTTGTATTGAGAAAAAGTTCATAAAAGATTTTAAAACCTACCTTTAATTTTTCAACAAGGAGAAAGAGTTTCATCTACTCATCACCTATAACCTGGCATCGCAGCGGCTCCCTCAAAAAATATAGGAATTCCTATATAGGATAGGTCTAACATATGTAGGATCGCCCTGAACTATATAAAAAAAAAATATAGGATGAAAAATTTATTCCAGAAAAAGATTTAGACACCGAAAAATCACTGCAGCAGCACGCACTGAAGATGATAATGTGTTGTTTTGCCACGTATATCTAATCAGCTAAATAAAAATATTATTGAGTTTTGAAAAGTAATGAAGCAGCAAGATTCTCTTAAAACATAAAAAAACTAATTTATGTTCCATTTATTTTCACTATTGGACATACATGCACTTTAGAGTATGGGTGGGTTTTTGAACAAAATATTCACACATTCACATTGACACCCACCCACCCACACCCCACACCCACACCAGATAAGAATAGTATTGACAAATGTAGAATGTAAATGAGCATGTCTATTATGAGATAATCTTTGATNTGCTAGATCTCAGCGTCAGTGCATGAGACCTAGATGGAACTTATGAGGGGTCATATTGGAGCTAAGTAATGAGGTTTTGTGGTCAAAAGATTGTGATTGTAGTTTGCAAAAATAAAATAATTATTTTGCTTGCCCAACCGGCAAATGTTTTTAACCTTTTTTGGAATTCCGCCTTTTAAAATTTCATAGTAAGCTACATCAAATTTCATCGAAAAATAAGGATCTGTTCAGGAGTTAAAACGGTTTGAAATTTTGCTAAAATCTTGGCAGCATTTGAAAAAAATTCACAACGTTATAACTCCTGGACGGATACTTATTTTTTGATGAAATTTGATGTAGTTTACTATGAAATTCTAAAAGGCAGAATATCAAAAAAAAAGGTTAAAAACATTTGCCGGTTGGGCAATCAAAAAGATTATATTATTTNAATATAGGAAAAAGCTCAAAATATAGTCTATTATAGGATAAATTTTTAAAATATAGGAAATACAGGATATATAGGACTGCTGTGAAACCGGCGAATCCACGTGTATTGAATTGTTTTTTCTTTCTTGACTATTCTTTCATTATCGAATATCTTTGAAACCAAAACATCGTGACAGGGGAAGGAATCGAACCTTCTGCTATCTGACTAAATCAGATGCAAAGAACCACTACGCCATCCCTGGCTGAATCAGCAACGGCTCACTAATGGAACGAATGAAAGAAAAATACGGTTATTTCTCTCTTTGTCATTGTCGTTCAAAATATCGCCTATCATGAGCATTCCTAACTATTGGTTGCAATCTTTGTTGTCTTAACAGAATTATCTTTTATGCAGATGACAAAGAATTTTGCTTTAATATTACGTGTTAATGAACTATATATTTATGTAAAGATATTATGTAGTTTTCATATTGCGTTTTGTGTTGAGATGCATTGACGAAAGGCATTAACGTTGCCTTCACCGTCAACTAATGAGAATATGAGAGGTGAGTGCAACTATCTTGGCCTTCTTTTCTCCAAATTCTTTATATTCTAGATACAGATTGACAAATATGGTAATGTTCTGACGGTGGGAGTATTTTTATTTTGAATGACTGTAAATAGGAGTCATCTTCCATGTCTACTTTTTCTCACACTTGTTTTAGGGATTTTACTGTACGTGTCACGAAGTTAAATAAAAAAAACTTTTCATTGGAACAATATCACTTGGTTCTTGAAAAATCAATAGAAATTACAGTCATAGAGAGGATATATTCAAAATTTCCAACTCATAAGTCGATACAATTTACTGCATTCTACAGGTGATAAAAATGAGAAAAAAATACAGTTAGTACCATTGTAACAATCAAAGCCGAACTCATACACGTGTTTAATTCAATTTAATCTACCATCTGTAGAACTCTGTTATTTCAGTTAGTAAACATTTTAGTAGAGGTCATGATTCATGAGAATTAGAATTATTTTTCATTCGTATTTCACAATGTGTCTCCGTTTGAATTCGATTGATGTTCTTTTTATCTAAATATTTCCTATTTTAGTTTTTGTTTGATTATCTTTTAGAAATGCATCTGGAATGTTAAACGATTTTGACAATCAAATCAAATCTTCTTTCGATATTAGATCAGAACATATCTGAGAAATCAAGAATGTAAATAATTGAATGAGAAATAAAAGATAAAGAAATACGAATAGTAAAGAATGAAAGAGAGAACTTAATAGTCAGTCTATATAGATAGATAGATGAAGACGAATGGACCAAATCTAACCAGAATGAAAAAGGATAGAAGATGATGTCATGATTCGATAACAGAGGTTTATCTATTTACTACGTCACTTAAGAAATAGATGTCTCCGTCAAATTTAACTAGTATTTCTTTTGTTTTAATTTAACCAGTATTTGTTTCAATAGATCATATTGTTTGTTATTTATAGCTTCATTCAGTAATTGAATGCATCGGTATCTTTTTACAAGAGAGGATAACTTGGTTTATTTTCTAGATTTTCTGATGAAGGAAGTTTCACTTTTTGGATTTCATTATTTACTAATCTATCACTAAGACGGTGACATCGTTACCACATGAAAAAGCCAAAACTCAGCAATTTCGACAAGATCCTCCCATTCAGATTTCTCGTCCTAAAAATGTCCAGTCAAGTCTTGAAAAATGTCGTTATTTTCCAGTAATACTTTTTTCTTGAGGGAGAAATAGATTTGAAGCAGTACACGCACTTTTGTTTTGCCAGATCCCTATGTTTAAAAAGGTTTCTTATAGCTATTGCACATTATTAATTGATTAATATGTAATATAATTTGCAGATTTAACGATGGAGAATTACCCATTGTTGGAAATGATGCTGTCTTTTTGTAAGTGAATTCAAGCAAGTGATGAACATTTAGTAATGTTAACATTTCATTATTGCTCCCCAGGAGAATCATTCGGTCAGTAGGATCCTATCGGATTCCGACAAGGGTCAGAGAGTGAATATACCAAATATCATATGTATTTCAATAAAACCGACGAAATCTTATGGGATCCCTGGGCACGGATCTACAGTCGGATCCTTGGTATTGGATCCGATCAGATCCGATGTCGGATTTTAACGGAATCCAACTTTATCGAATTATCCTTGCGCTCTGATGGCTCAAAATGCTTATTTGATCGTGAATAAGAAAATTATTTTTACATCGGGACCGACAATAGGTCCGTGTCCAGGAATCCTATCGGTTTCTGTCGGCGAGTCGGATCCCATAGGATTCGATAAGATCCGTTGTTGGATTCATCCACCTGGGTTGCTCACAATGGATTTAAAGTTTTTTCTCTAAATCAAGTAAGAGTTTTAAAAGAAATCTATTAATACTTTTTGCCTTACGTTATAGCCAAGTGAAATTCTCAAATTAAGAAAAGCTGAGAACCCGGTTTCCATATATTATGTGTTTGATGGTCTTGTTCTTAAATGTCGTCACGATACTGTTGTCACTGCAAATCCTCCCGATAGTGAGTTTGGCACGAATCATGGTTATGAAATTGAATGTGGCGTTTATTCGGTTCACATCCAAGTAAAGTAGAAAAAAAAGACAAACAATAATTTATTGGAAATTTAGGTAAACAACGATGTTCGTCCGCTTATTGGAGAATTCATTATCGATGATACTTTGAATAAACATAAGTAAGTTTCCACTAATTTCCAACTGAAATATATATATCTTTTTTTTAGTGCTGGTACAGAAAATTCGGTGCAAAATAGTCTCAAGGATATTCCTGGTTTTATGCACAAATCGATGAACGTAATTTCGTCATTAAAAGAATATATTACAGAAAATAAACAACGACTTATTGATCAACAAGCCGATCATGAACCACCTGATGGACATGCTCATCCATAGAACATGAATTTTTATATGAGCTGACACAGCAAGCTTTTGTGCTTGATGTCAGAGACTTCGCCTTTTCATTTTATTGCTAACTTACAGTGCACGTAGAGAGAGAAAGAAATTCTAATTCTGTCTGTTTTTTATTTATCATGTCATCAACAACACAACAAAAGTGATAAATAAATTTACTGTTGAAAAGTATGTTCTAGCTAACAACAATGTAAAAATGTTATATAATGAAAATTGCACGCGTTCAGTCACCTCAATATCACAAAAAGTTCCCTTAAATCTAACCATAACCACCCCTTTCCCTCAAACATCTAGACAAGTAAAAGCAAAATAAATAACAGAAACACCTGCACAGTTACAAGCATGCAAAAATCCTCCTCCACCTTTCAACTCATAAAACTTAAAGAAAAACAGTTAAAGAACTCCAATAATTTCAAAAACAAAGAATAAGAAACTCGACGTCTGCGATGTTGTTGTTGTGAAATCACCTATCATGAATATTTACATTTATTATTAAAGTGTTGTTTTACAAGAATCTATTATTTGTAACAGCCGATGATAAATTTGTCTGTTCATCAAAATTTAATTTCTACAAAACAAAATGCGGAAGCATCGGATTCGCATCCGATTGTTATGTGTACTACAAAAACGGAGTCGATTTATATATGTTTTGAATAATTCTGAGGAAAAACATTTTCTTGAAAAATTCCCTGTACCGATAACTCAGCCGCTTCTTGACGGATCCTTCTCATCTTCGAACTCGACTGAGATATTGATGAAATCTTTCTGTGTACAAAATTTCATGACAATTGGATGAGACTTTCAAGAGTTATCGTGTTAACGGCCGGACACACTCACCGAATCTCAGTGTAGTCACTTTTTTGAGTAAACAAAAAGAATATAAACGAAGAAAGATTTTTGTTTTTGCTTGATAAAATATTGCTACTTCATCATCTTGTGGATTTTTATAATTATTCATCTGATTATTTATATCAGAATTAATGTCTTTTTCAATTAATGCAGTTTTGTTACTATTTGTACATTTTGAAAGTATAATAAGTTTAACCCTAACAGTATATGGTTCATTTTGTTCACGTTCAGGCCATTCACAAATATCATCAATAGAAAAATTTTGCTGTTTATTTCATGCTCATTTCTACCAATCATCACTGGTTGTACCACGGTTTTTCACTCCTTGGTAATAGTTGACAAATTTCAATAGGTTCTTGAGCTTGTGATGCTGATGATAATGAGCTATTGCCAGTGGATGATGTTATTTGTACTGTTCGTTCTTCTGATGCAGTCTTATGATTAGATGATAGTACTGGTGATGATTCATGTTTTGGTTTTGCCTTTATTTCCGTTACGATTGCTAATGTGTTTACTGTCTTGTGTGATCCATTGACCGTCATATTCTTGTTCATTAGCAGCTTCATCAATAACTGGTGCACGTTTTGCTTCAGAGTTAGTGACTACTTGCTGTTTCTTATTTGAAGTAGTAGTATTGATCTAGTTGGTTTTTTTTATATCAACACTTTGCATTTCATTAAGATTTTCATTACGTCCAAGTGCTGTTCATTATTGTCTTATTGACGATTTTTGATTTGATCAGTCGAAGTGGCAGACTTATTGTTTTCATCAGTAGCAGCCACTTTTTAAATTGTAGATGGTTTATTTGATGGTGCTGACTAAATGAATGATATAACGTTTTTTCAACCAGTAAATTCACTGAATAACTGAGTACCCTTTTTTGTTGGTACTATAAGATCTAATTTTTCATCTTCACTTTCTTTGGATAATGAGGTTGATGATACTGATGACGGTGCAGCAGTTACATTTTTTATTTTCTTATTATTCTTTTCACTTACTAGAAGATTTTATATCAATCTATTGTGGCTGTATTCTCGTACTAGCTTCGTTGATTTTCTTACTGTTATTTGAAAGTTATTTTGAAGAAGAAGTGGACTTCGATGTTTTTAGATGACGACAAATGCATAAACTATTTAAAACAATTACCAATGTGACTATGATAGATATTGAACTTTCTAACAGGTGTGCCATAATAAATTGGACTAAATGTTATACATTTTTTCCTACTGTATCTTCAGATTAAAAGTTTCTTTATGTGCCAAAAGATAGAGAATTTCAAGCATTGCAAAAATGTTGACTTAGTTTTTCAAATAAAGTTTTCTCGTCGACGCAAAATTTTAACGATGAACACGTATTGCATCATTCAACTGCGATTTGCTATTTTCTGTTCATATCTATTGATTAGTATAAGCCTTTTGTCATCAAGGTCTATGCTAAAAGTGAATCATTTAACATCAATGGAAAAAGAATTTTGCGCTTTATGCTTCTACGCCCTTTTCAAGATTTTCGGTGCTGTTGTTTATGAGAAAAAAATTTGAAACTTACACTTAATTGTCGCTATTTTTTGGTACACTTTGGAAAATCATGTTTTTAAAAGCCAGACTTCCTCTTACAAAAGATTTATTAATATGCCATCAGATGTAGAATTCAATTCTGAACAAGATGGTGTAACAATTAAATTGAACAATAAGAAAAGTTTGGTTGTTTTGAATTAACAAAATTGTGATGCCATTGTTCTATCAGAAAAACACTCTTTTCAGTGTTTTCACATATTTTACTTCAAAACCATTTCTCTGAAATACTCCTTCTAAATTTAAAAAACATGCATTCAAAGGTCCAGGATTTTACGAAGAGTTTTGTGTCATAGTTGAAATTACAGTGGAACCTTTATTAAAACATTTTCATCATTCTTTCGGTTTTGACCATCGCAGTTGGACGATTAAGTCTGTGTTCACTTTTGAAATTATGCATCCACATGAAAAACTCAGTCAATAGTTTTGCAGTACTTAAAATTCTCTATCTTTTCGTACATTAAGAAACTTTTAATCTGAAGATGAAGTAGGGAAAACATGCATTAATATTTAGTCCTGCTTATTATGATACGTCCGTTACATGATTTCATCGAATAGCTACATAACATGATTTTACAAATATTCATACTGAAAACAATTACAAGATAAACTGAAAGTTTTTTCCCCGTCAACGTATTTGAACCATGAATCAAGTGTACATCTGAGATTTGACATCACATCTTTCACATTATATTTCTTTCTATTGTGTATTTTTAAATATCGTCACATTTTTATACAATCGAAATCAATTAATGTAATTATATCGTGATGCATGAGTTTCGTCTATTCATCGTCTACAGCTCTTTTTCAGTTAGTATTTTGTTTAAATTTATTTGTTTATATGGCATGAAAAAAAAGGTTTTTTAGAATAAGAATAAAATGAGCATTTGTAAAAGTTTATTATGGCGATGGAGCTGCCAATAAGGGTGCACACATTGTTTGACAGGCAGCCAAGCATAGTGGAGTACCAGTTAGGGCCGTTCCTGCTGAACATCCACTTGAACATATAGTAACACATGCTATATAAGCTAAAGGACCACCATTTACATTTGAGCACAACAATAGTAATAGTAATACTACCACGGTGAAGTTTTGAGTGCCTAACATATCGATAAATGAAACGTAATGCTATAAGTATAAATATATTTTATTCATTGACTTACTAGTCTGCTTTGACATATTGAGTTTGTAGGTATTTTTTCAAATGATTCGTACGGATATAAACACTATTGCTTTTATAGTACAGTAGTAGAAATTTTCCAACCCGACTTAATGGTTGCATCGATGAAATTTTTCAACAACGTATAGGATTATCTATGTGATATTATTGGCTTGTATACTGCTTTATCAAAGCGAATATTTTTTTTGTTACGCGTAACTACGAAGAAGAGAAAGGGTTATGCTCCAGTAGTCTTGTTCTTGTTATTGATGTGTGATATAAGAAAGATTGACTCGTACAAATTTGCCACATTCGAAAATTTCCTTCAAATTTCATCGATGCAACCACTAGGTCGGGTTGGGAAATTTCTACTATTGTACTATAAAACCAATAGTGTTTATATCCGTACGAATCATTTGAAAAAATACCTACAAACTCACTATGTCAAAGCAGACTAGTAAGTCAATGAATAAAATATATTTATACTTATAGCATTACGTTTCATTTATCGATATGTTAGGCACTCAAAACTTCACCGTGGTAGTATTACTATTACTATTGTTGTGCTCAAATGTAAATGGTGGTCCTTTAGCTTATATAGCATGTGTTTCTGTATGTTCAAGTGGATGTTCAGCAGGAACGGCCCTAACTGGTACTCCACTATGCTTGGCTGCCTGGCAAACAATGTGTGCACCCTTCTTGGTAGCTCCATCGCCATAATAAACTTTTCCAAATGCTCATTTTATTCTTATTCTAAAAAACCTTTTTTTTCATGCCATATAAACAAATAAATTCAATAAATTGATTTCGATACTATCAAGACGAAACGTTTATCACATTGAAGAAAGTTATTTTTCGAAAATATTAAATGACTAAATATATAGAAATATAATGTGAAAGATCAGCTATGTCAAAATCGAAAGTCCGAAAGGTTAGTGGCCAGCGCCCTCTCTAGTCCATTTATTTGTGTTGGCTCAATAATTCATAGTAGTTGTGATAGTGGTTTGATATTCTTAAAAATTATCTATTCCCATTTCGATTGGATCTTAGAAAATCGACATATTGTTTTCTTTCACTTTCTTCAACTAGTATTTTTATTACCACGTGCATTAAATTTTTACTATGAATAGATTATCTAGTCAATCCGCAGAAAACAAATCACTAGACCAAGAATCAACGAAGAAAATAGCTAGCTTTGAACCAAAAGAAGAAAAAATGAATACCAAAGAAAATCATCAAATAACTGTATGTTGAAAATTATGAATGAATTTTTTCGTTTTGTAAGTTTAAAAGTAAATAGAATGGTTCCCATGATGCTGTTAAATTGGCACCAGAAGATATGACATCAAAAGATTATTATCTTGATTCAACTGCTCATTTCGCTGTACATGAAGTTCGTAATTCAAAGGACATGTTTCGTATTCATACATTTAATATTATTAAATTTTAGGAATTATTAAAAGATGAAATTCGTACAAAAACATTTCGTAATGCCATTATCAATAATCGACATTTATTTAAAGATAAAGTAGTATTAGACATTGGTTGTGGTGTTGGCATATTTAGTTTGTTTGCAGCTAAAGCTGGTGCTAAACTGGTTATTGCGGTAATTATTTACTTATAAACTTATATAAAACAAAATGATTTTAATTTGATTTGCATTAGGTTGAAAAATCGAATGTTATTGAATATGCAAAACGAATTATTCGAGCAAATCGATATGATAAAGGTTAGTAAATTTCATAATCAAATGAAAATAAAAGACCTACGGTTGAAAATTTTTCGTTTTTAGTTATCAAATTAATTAGAGGAAAAATTGAAGATATTGAATTACCTGATGGTATTGAAAAAGTGGATATTATTATTGCTGAATGGATGGGTTATTGTTTATTCTATGACTCAATGATTCAAAGTATTATCTATGCTCGAGATAAATTTCTGGTAAATATTTTTATTTGTAATCTTATTACATCATTTCTATTCGATTGGATTAAACTAACGACTCTTAGATTTTTTTGAATATCAAAAAGAAATCATTGAAGTTTAGTTGAGTAAAAATCTGAACTCTGCACAGAGATCGTCTTTTTATAGTAGATTTTACGGTAGTAGAAAGTTAAATTTTATTTCTAGAAACCTGATGGTCTTATTTTTCCTGATCGTGCCACAATGTATATGGTTGGCATTGAAGATCGTGATTACAAGGAAGATAAAGTTGAATGTAGGCGTTGTTATTGTTTTCCTTGATTGTTAAAAACATTTTAAAATTTGTTTTTAGGGTGGTCTAGTGTTTACGGTTATAACATGGGTTGTTTAAAAAATTACGTTATGCGTGAGCCATTGGTTGATACCGTTGATAAACGTCAAATATGTACGGATCATTTTCCACTTAAAGTAATATTGAATGTTAATTTCTATAGAAACAATGGCAATGAATTCTCTCTTAGACATTCGATTTAAAAACTATGACTATTGACGATATAAATATTGATAGTAAATTTCGACTTCGTGCTTTACGTGATGATTATGTACATGCATTCGTTACCTATTTTGTGGTTGAATTTACAGCATGTCCACAGCGAACAGTAATTAGTACTGGTAAGATTATTTATTTAAAAGATAACAAGAAACCGAAATTTCTCGTTTTTAGCACCCGGTGCTGGTTATACACATTGGAAACAAACCGTTTTCTATTTTCCTGATTGTGCAACAATCAAATTCGATGAAATCTTAGAAGGAAAATTTACGTGCAAAGTTAATCTTGAGAATACAGTATGTATAAATCGAAAATAAAAAATTGAAATAAAATCATTTTCTTTATTAGAAAAAACTGAATTTTAATATTGATTTTCAATTCGATGGAGAAATTTCAAATTTACAGAGTAAAAATCAATATTTTATGAAAGGTTAAGCTACATGAATATGTTTTGTTTTTTTGTTATTCTCTCGTTATGTTATACGTTTGTTTGTTTGTTTTTTTACTTTGAAAAAAGTGAAGAATCCGTAGAAGAAGATAACGAAGCTTTTCTTGTTCGCTCATGATCATCTTCGCATAAGATTTGATTGTTATATAAAAAATATCGGTCACCGACACAAAATCTACCGAAAAACGAAGAATAGAATTTTTGCTTTTTTAATTTTCATAACGAACTTTTGTTGACATTCGTAGCATGAAAAACAGTTTAAATGATAGACAAGTTCTCCACAACGCATTACTAAGTCAAATGCCGGAACTAAAATATTTCAAAAAACAAAAATAATTCGTAAAAACATCTACGTTCTATTACTTACTGAGTCTTTGACAACTAGCACAATGACCAGTCAGACCAAATAAACGTAGATAATCACGTTTACATAGTATTAAATTGGCTTTTAAATATAATGTTGAACCGCTTTCACCTAAACGACAATCGCAACAAGCACATTTTAAACAATCTTCATGCCACATTTTATCCAAAGCTAAATAAAGAAAAACAAAAAAGAGACTAAGAATCATAGAATGTGTAGTTATTCGTAAAAATAACATTGCATACCTTGAAGCATATATCGATCGTTGATTATTTGGTTACAATTAGCGCAAATGTAGCTTTTATGCGTTGAAATCATGTTTGCATTTGTCATTTTGAAAAGGAAAATCTTGGATATAAATAAAGTAATACAATAATTCTCGATTTGTTCGTGAAGAAGATGAAAAAGAAAATTTGATTAAAAAACACAGACAAAGAACAAAAAGAAAAAAAAAGAAGAATGATGATGATGACATTTGGACCTCTATTTTTAATTAAAATAAGTGCGTATAAGTGTGAGAATTCCATCACGGTCAATTAGTCGAGAAGAGAAAGAATGAACCATCTGTCGTGCACGCTATACATTATCATGAACATCTCATTTTTTTCCCTATTGAAGCGATAGTAGTTCCAAAAAATAAAAGCTATAAAGGTAACATGAATGCAGAGTGCATTTGTCATTTTTTATTTTTTCATCTCTAATCGATACATGCCTGGTCAATATGTCCTATGGATCATTGTGTCGAGCATATTGTCATCTCATCCAATTTCTTGTCTTAACTCTCATGAGGCATATTCTTTCTCTGTCTCTCTCTCTATCTCTCTTTCGCTTTCTTTCTCTAGAATAACTAATTACAAAGAATCGCACAATGATGGGTAACTATGATAACTATACTCTATGTGCGTTATGCCGGAGAGAAATCGGAAAGCGACAGTAGCAACAGCAGTTATAATGGACAGCAAAAGAGATAATTTATTCCCGCAAACCAATTAACTATTAGATTGAAGAACTATCTGTATGATTATTCACAGCCTTTAACAATAGACATGCGTGTTCGATACAAAAGATGATTTTGATGGGTAAGACGCGTGCTACACGCGAAAAATGAACACAATTACTAGAAGGCTAATTTTCTTGCCTATACAACATCTAGGAAAAAGAAGATAATAAATCGTCTTTTTTAATTTATTATTCAACTGTCTATTGAGTTTGTTATTATTAGACTGATGTCTTCTTGTAAGAAGAAAAAGATAATGTTGAAGTGTTCAACATACTTACTAGAGAACAAATATGAATAAAAAAAAGATTCGCATTGTAATTCACTGATCTTCATTAGTAAAATATCAATTTTTTAATTCTTTTCCAATCGTATGCTATTCATCAGAGATTTATTATTAAAAAGAAAATTTTTTTTAGTTATGTTGTTTTTCGACATTCCGTGTGTTGTTATAAAAATTCGTCACAGACGGAATGATATAGACTTTCAACGACCTCACCAATTTATCTATTGCATTAAAATGATCATTGGTGCAAATCATAAACGTCAGAAACGAAACTAAAATCATCACAATAATTTATTGTTGACAAATTTTGAGCATCAATAGTAGAACTTAGTATTTGATCGATTATTTTCATTGCAACTATTTCACAATCACAATCGTCATTGAATGACATACTATTATTGTGTTGTTGCGTAATAACACAGTAATTACATTCTTATAAAAATATTTTTTTTGTATATGGATCAGTACAACATTATTTTTTAGTGAAAAATATACAAGTGAATATTAAAAATGGCTCGTTCATCTAATAGTTTCATTCAACAACAAAATTATGATTATTTTCTTGTACTTGATTTTGAAGCAACATGTGATGAAGAAAGAAGAATTCATCCAATTGAAATTATCGAATTTCCTGTTTTAAAAATAAATGCACGTACATTTCAATGTGAATCGACATTTCATACATGTGAGTAGAAAAGTATTGATTTTCTGACTGAGAAAAAAAATAATCTTATGATATTTTTAGACGTAACACCAACGAGCAATCCACAATTAACTAAATTTTGTACAAATTTAACTGGCATAACTCAAGATATGGTAACAGATCAACCGAAACTTGATGAGGTTCTAAAAAACTTTCACGCATGGCTTACAAATGAAAAACTTCTTGACTCGAATGTTAAATTTATTTTTGTTACTTGTGGTGATTGGGATCTATACACAATGTTACCTAGTCAATGTAGTTACTTTCATTTGCCACGTGCTGAATATTTCGATCGGTGGATTAATATTAAAAAATCATTTAATAAAGCTGTAGGGAAATATTCACGTGACGGTATGATGGGCATGTTAAACGATCTTAATATTCAACATGCTGGAAGACATCATAGTGGTATTGATGATTGTAAAAATATTGCGGAAATATTAAAAGTATTAGCCGAACGTGGATATGTTTTTCATGAAAATAGAAAATACTAATGAATTAGTTCGTTTTTTTTTCTTAACTTTTTAATAAAAATATCGGCGTGGATTTCGTCCATCGAAATCAATAAATGGATTTAATACTTTATGTTCAACAATACAAATAGGATTGTGTACAGTGAAACTATTGAATTGTGTATCACTCAGAGAATGACAACAATTCGATGACGATGAATCTTAAATAGGAATTGATTCAAGGAACTACTAGAAACATCATTATACTTATTTGTTTTGATCGTTTTTCCTGCGATAATTCGTACAATTGTTCTATATATTCTTTCATTGAATAACCAACAAAGAACAAATAAAAACAAAAACTTCATAATTTGTTACTACGGTAATTTCTATATTGATTAATCAATAGTTTGTAAAACATCGGCAAGAAAGTGTAGTCTTAATCTTATTAAACAACAACAAAAGCATTAAGAACAGATAGTTCGTATTAGACGGGTTGAAAATTTACAGGACGAACATAATCACATTAATCCACGAAACAATACCACAAGCCGATCGAAAAACTAAACAAACTTTATTGCTCTCTATCGTTTTCTCTTTTTACGTCATTTTTTTCGATCGATTTACATGCATAATCGACGTTGTTCTTTCATGTATTTCATACTATTATAATCGAAATAGAAACCATTTCGTTGTAGTTCGTCTCGATTCAATATATAGCTACATAGAATAAGGATGATACTAAGAAGAATTGTTTTATTTATACTTTTTATTAAAGGTAAATCATTGTTTCAATTGTTTGTTTGTTTTTATTTGCTACATTGTTCATTCAGTTTCGATTCTCCTTGCTGCTGAAGAAAAATTTAAAATCGTATGTTACTTTGCAAATTGGGGTAAGCAATAGAAATTCTCAGCATTCTATTGGATTTATCTTCTTCTATAGCTTATAATCGTCCCAGTGGTGGTTCAATGACACCAGAAGATATTGATCCTTGTCTATGTACACATGTTATCTATGCATTTTCTGAAATGGAAAATAATCAATTGATACCAACTGAAAAACATGATTTAAAAGATAAAAATCAAGCAGGTACATATCAGTTTTGATTTGAAATACCAGTTATTTGAGTTTATTTTGATAGGCTTTTTCGAACGATTCAATGCATGGAAAAGCGTTAATAAAAATTTAAAAACTTTACTTGCTGTTGGTGGTTGGGTACGAAGAATTTCCTTTTTTGTATTAAAAATATTGCATGCAGGAGTTTTATTTTTCATTGCATATTTATAGGATATGGGAATGAAAGATTTTGCCGGTATAAAGTAAGATTATAATGAATATGGATAAACGTATGTCATTGATAGGTATCGTTAAATCGGAAAAAACAATGAAGAGTTTTGCAGAATCATCCGTTAAATATTTACGTAAACATAAATTCGATGGTCTTGATCTTGGTATGTTGAAATAAATGATAAATTTGAGAGTTTTTTATTTATTTTTTATTAGATTTCGAATATCCTGGTAAGAAATAGTCTTTGATAAAAATCCTGAATTTAAATTATTCGACTAACAGGAGTTGACTGGAGAGATAGTCCAAAAGAAGATAAACAAAAATTTACAAGATTATGTGAAGTACGTCGATGAAAAGATTACTTTTTCTTTTGCTAATTTATTGATTAAGGTTTTGTATGAAACATTTGAAAAAGAAGCTTCAAAAAGTGGAAATGAACGACTTCTTTTAACTGCTGCTGTGGCAGCTGCTAAAATTAATATTGATAAAGCATACGAAATCGATAAACTTGTTCCGTAAGTTTAGTTTTCATCGTTAATTTAGTTGTTTTGTTTTACCACGAATTTTTTCTTCAGAGTTCTCGATTGGTATGTCAAGCAAAGTATTTCTGAATTTTCGAAAAATTTTATTCATGTAATTTTCACTAAGGTTCAATCTAATGACTTATGATTTTCACGGATCATGGGATCAAAATCGTGCACATCATTCATCCCTGAATAGTAAAGATGATGAAAAAGATGATACAATGTATATTGTAAGTTACATCGCCTAATAATGTTTTCTTTTTCGGAATCGTATTTCATAGGATTTTGCTGTTAAATATTTCCAAAAATTGGGTATGCCACCAAATAAAATGCTATTGGGTTTAGGCACATACGGACGAGGCGATACACCAGCTATGCCTTATACAGGATTTAAAGGCGAAAGTGGTTTTGTAGCCTATTATGAAGTATGCATTAGATTTTACTTGTTTCTTGTTGTCCGTTTGAATAATGTTAATTTTCTAGAGTTGTATTCAAATTGTTTGTGAAAAAATGAAAGAAACATGGGATGCTAAACAACTTGTACCATATATTGCAGGTCCGTATAATCAACCTAAGGCAGGTGTAGAAAATGTTCGAAGTATGAAATACAAGGTAAAAACAAAGGAATTCTATGGATTAAATTTGATAAAAACGATTGCTTTCCCGTTAAAGGCTAACTATATCAAACAGAATAATTTGGGTGGTGCTATGATTTGGACACTTGACATGGATGATTTTCGTGGTCAATTCTGTTGTCAAGGAAAATTTCCATTAATAAAAACGATTAAAGCTGTTCTACATGGACAACTTAAATTATTACCAAAAGAAAAAATTTGTTCAACTTGTCCAACTACTGAATATAAAAGTATGTTGGTTAGACGGCATTAATTCAATGCATTGAGTATGTATATTTATTTAGATTTGAAAGCAAATTCGAATTATCAACCGCCAACAACAACACCAACTGAGAAAACAACTAAAAAAGCAAAACTATCCAAACGTGATGCAGAAGGACCAAGTAATCCTTTTTATTTTGTGAAAAAGAACAAGAACTAGTTCAGTGTAATATTATTTTTTTTTACAGCACCAGAAGATGTGTGTGAAGAATTAAAAGATGGACAATGGCCTGATCCATCGGATTGTAAAAGTTATTTCTTATGTCGCGGTGTAGGCAGTCAATGGGGCGAACAAAAACGTGAAATGTGTTATGCTGGTAAGAGGACAAACTTATTGAGTATATAGTTATTTGAAAAATTGAAGAAAATGTATCACTGTTGAACCAATATGCTCCGGATCGCAGAACAATTTTTCGTCCTGTTTTGAAAGCAGATCAGAATGTATGAGAAAAGAAGAACTCGAATTTAGAAATTGAAGATGAGTGATGCAAAACGAAATTATTAAAATTGAAGAACTCATTGCCATTGAATATCAAAATATTTTGAGTAAAGCATTTTCGTCTATGTTTAGCCATTGGTCAAGATCTATGTTGTCTCATTAGTCGAACGTGCTTTGTAAATTATAAGAAGCTTTGAGTATCGTTGAAAGCAAAATGAATAGGACAGCTCTGTTCGCTTGATACTTTCTGAATTTAGTATAAAATATAGAGGATGTTCTAATCTCCTTTCGATTTTTGATCTTGTAAATATACAAGAATGTTTAAATATTAATAAAAATTGTGATCGACAAAACTCAATACTACTTATTGATATTTCATCAGAATTTTTAGTCATATCTCGTTTTGTTTTCTTTTTAGGCTCGTATTTTGATCCTAATGATAAAACATGTAAATGGGTTGGCGCTGATAAGGTTGATTCTGGTTCTTTATTTTATCTATCATTCTTTAGTTTTACTTTCAATTTTCTTTAGCTTAATTGTGAAGAACTAGTTGAAGGTTATGAAAATCCAGTATCCGGTTTAACAGTAGCTCCGGGACAAGAAGAAGATGACATTGAAGATGAAGATATAACAGATGAAATGGGTAAAACATCGAAAAAGAAAATATCCAAATCGGCAACCTCATTGTCATCGGTGCCGTCACCATCTTCTAACAAGCAAATGTCAATATTAAGTCGAACAACATCCGAATTCGATACATGCGCACCAGAAAAATCTGTTGAATTCGATCCAGTACAAGGTAATACATTAATTCCTATTTTTTGTCTATCATGATCTGCTTCATCTTCTATAGCCTTCTATAGGTATGCTCTGTTACTCTTGCGAAAGTCAGAAGGAGAACAGCGAGTGCCAAATAAGTCCAAATCAAACGACGACGATGATGTGCGAATCGATGCAACAGATTTGTTACAGCAGAAAAACCACAAACGTCGTCGGTAAAAATCAAAATTTTAGAGAAATATTCTTTTGTTCTAGTTACATATATATGTAATTAAATCATTCAAGGAAAACTACTACTGTTCAGCCGTGGTTGTACAATGCAACCTTCGTCGACGGGCAATACTACTCAAGAGTCACAATGTCTATCAAGCAAAGTCGACGGAAAGACCGTTTGCGTGAAATATTGCCAGGAAAACTTATGCAACAATCAGGATATAAGGTTTAATTTTGTTACAAGATCTTAAATAAACACTCGCAACTATTTCGTTTTCATTCCTATTTAGCGATGGCGCACTGCCGATGACAATGAATCGAATGACATTCGTCATTTATTGTCTTTTATCTCTGGTACTAATGCTCATATCTACGCAAGACCATTGTTAATCATGACATTTTTATTTACTTTTTTAGTTCGAATATGAACTAGCAATCAAATGAGCAGATATCTCTTTTTTCTCTTTCCCTTATGTTTCTTATTAATCTTTCTTTGCGTGTTTCTTGTTGGTCTGTACGTGTTTGATCTCATTGTTATAAGAAAAAAAACGAAGGAAAAGAAAAGCATTCTTACACGATTATCAGTACACTATAAATTAATTTCATTACAAATAAGCAACTCTTAAACAATGCATCTCAAGGTTTGTACAATCTTTTTCTGTCTTATTGTTTAATATTTGTTTATAATGTCAAATTAAAATGACATTTATCAAGGAATAAAAACAACTACAACTCTTTAGCGTTTGATATTTACTCCTTCGTTTGCTTACTCCATTTACAGATTTCATGGTCGACATGCTACGTTTACTTTGTCTTGAATACTCATGTGTAAATATGATTACAACTTTGTTTAACATTCTTCTTTCGACCAGTGAACATAACTGAGCATATTTTATTATTTAAAGATACAAATCATACGAGAGGTCGTATGTTAAGTGATGCAATGACGATTGAGTTTTTCTTTTCTTTCGTTAAGCGATGTTTTTTTCTTCTTCTACTTCAATAGTCGCTTTCAAACGAAATCAAAACAAATCCTGATGAAAAGCTCGCAGAGGACAGAGAGCGAAAGAGAGTACGAGAGAAAGAGTATGAAACATTCTCTACAGTTATAAGTACGTTTTTGTGTATAGATCTATGCAGGCTTGCTGATTACCTTTTGGCCTTGCTACCATTTCGAGACACTTCACCTTACTCACATTTTTTTTTGTTGTACAAAATGCAAAGAGAGGAACGATGAAATTGAGGTAGTTCTGTAAAAAAGAAACCTCTATACAATGCCACAGAAATTTCATTTCTCTCTCTCTCTCTCTCTCTCTCTCACTTTTATGACGATCTGATGTTTTAGGATACAAAAGTGGCACACTTTTCAACTCTTGTGCAAACATTTTTATTGTCATTTTCATAGGTTTTGTTAATTATAGATATATTATGTATATCATCTGTGGATGAGAATTTTGTGCTTGAAAATATCACGATGGACAGTGGAGGACCCAATATTACTACGTTAATTATGTAAGTCGTAAAATCGAAAATAAAATTTTAAGAAAAGGAAAACATCTTGATTTCTAATTAAGTTGTATATGTGTCATTGTTCCGGCTGTGATTGCGATTAGTGTTTGTGGTATTCTCTATTACTCAAATCGGCACAAAGATCGAAAAATATATCGTCCACCAAGTATGAAATATTTTAATTTAAATACTTCTCAAAAACAGACTCAAAGTCCGTTAGAATCGATGCATAATTATGTAAAAATGACGAGAGAAAAAGAATATAAAGAAGGACGAAAATGTTTTCAGTTGATCGATATAATCGAAAATCACTGAGAAAGAAATAAAATTGAATAGTTTGACTTGCCATTCATTCATATCAATAGAACAAGAATAAAATAAGCGAACTTTGTCAAAAATTCATGAGTTCGCATCATGCAATGAATTGTTTGTTCTGTTAGGTAGACCATTGCCATATGATTATGAACAAACACGGGAGCGAGCATCTGCAAATAATTATATAATTGATTTTACACATGTAAATCGATCTCAACAACAACAACGCCGTCCACGGTCACCACCTGCAATTGAACAATCACCGCCAGCTTATTACATTACAACTATTGAGACACGACCACCATCCATACCAAGATTTTCATCTATTCGTACAATACCAACATCAACATATACGAATCGATCTTCACCGACTATAGCTCCATCAATACATTCAATAATGCCACCATCTTATGCTGACATATTTTTAAGACCTCATACACTACCAAATGAATAAAAAATATGCTTTTATTTTTTTAAATTTATTAATCATCAATTGTTTATAGAGAACAGATTTTTCTTGTTTTCTTTTTCCTATTTATATTTTTTACATTTGATCCCATTCGTATTATCTACATTATTTAGTTTGTAAAAAAACGAAGAAGCAGAGCATTAAAATGAGAAAACGATTATGATTGAATACGAACTGATCCGTGATTATCTGTTGATGTATATGTTATTGAAGTTGAGCGAAATGAATTATCACGGCAATAGGAAACCTTTAAAAAGAATTTAAACGAATCATTATATGTCTATGTAGAATACTTACCACTCGAACTAATGAACATATTAAATCAAGAAGACCTAATATGAATGATAGTACAAATATAAAAAATGACCAATCAAATTGTTCATTAAATTTTGCCATAATTACAAAAAATCCAACAATCAAAAACCCACTAGTACATAATACAAATAGCAAGCTTATTATAATAGCTAATTCCTCTAGAGAAAACAAAAATGAGTATTATAAAAAAAAGAATTTCTATACTTCTTTTGTTCTATATTCACCTAAAACGAGATTAATACGAGATCGTATTCGTTTGCATAAAAGACAAATATTTAATATTTCGAGTGTAAAAGTTAATAAGCTGACAATATAAAAAAACCATAGTACTCGTCTAGTGCTAAGTCTTTCATGGCATTCATGACCATAATCGTAGCATGATACTATAAGACCTATATTAGAAAAATATTTTATTACGCACAAACAAAAACAATTGAAACCACACCTCGATATTCCTTTTCACCCATATTTCGTATCCAATAATGCGTATTGAGAGATACAAATATTGTAATACATGTCATCAATTTGCATATGAAAATAAATATATTCAAAAGTGGGTTTTGCATTTTTAATGAGCACTTCACTGTTTCATATAATATCGATTAAGATTTTATTCTTACTACTAAAATCGTATTTTTATTATATATATATATATCTACATACATATCTTTTTAAGATAAGCTTCAAATTACAAAACTTAATATAAACTAAATTTTTATCTTATATAACCTAATAATCTCATATGATTTCAAAATTCAGTTGCAGTCGTTGAATAACGTTTGTTTTCTATTGTGAATCATATCTAGATAACAAGTACAATTTATTATTTTCTTCTACGATCGACTTCTCTTTGTTACATTAAAAATAAGATCTTTATGATGCTTTTATTAAAAAACAATCTAAAAAAAAACAATTGAATAAATACAAAACAAAATGACATGAGAGAGTGGCTCTCTACTGTTATAGCGTTAAATAACACAATCAACAGCTGGTTTGTGTCTAAAAGATCGTACACTCCGATTTATTTGAACTGCTTCATCATATTGACAATGATTTATCTATGTATATACAAAAAAACAAAATTCAATAAACTGTATAGAAAGGTGTCAAAAAAAAGGAAAACTTACGATTCGAATAATTGAAAAAGTACAGTCGATAGGAACAAGAATAGTAGCTAATCCAAAAGCAAAAAATGCCCAATCTAAATGAATTATACGCATTTCCATGGATATTCGAATATGAACAACAGTAACCCAGATGCAATGAATTGTAATAGCACACAATAAAGCAATACTCGTTTGTTCTAGACGAAAAAATAAAAATAAAATAAAACCAAGTTTTTATTTTACCAAAAAAATAATTTAACAACGAAGGAACACTCGACCGTTGCGAATATAATACGCTAAGATTAATTATTTCCAATAAAAGACTAATAAGTAAAAATACACAAGGTGTAATTACGATTAAACGTGGTAATGGCATTTGATTTTCCACACTACAAAATGCTCCATACGAAATACATAAATCTTGCATTTGATCTTTGTTTGCTATACATAAAATAAACATTAGTGATTTAAAATTTTGAAAAAAATAATCCTCTATTTTTTCTTACTTGAATAATTATCAATATCAAACCAATGATACCAATAAATAGATGCAAGTAAGCATACTAACGCAATAGTCTTAGAAGTTAAAATAATGCTAGATAAAATACTCATTTGTATAAATAGATATGAATGTGAGCTAAAAGCAAAAGAAGAAGCATGTTATTACATAACAATGATGCTAAACATAACGCTTAATGTTTCATTTCAAATCAAAGGATTGCGTATTCAGCATCTTATTTAGTGTTTTACGGATCAAAAGAAGGAGTTTTTATCAGTCTCTTGCGTTCTTATAATTAAAGAATTAGATTATGTCTTGCAAGGAGGAAAAGGAGGGATTTAGGATTTTGAAAATCCCAAAATCCAAAACGTGAATGATGGAATTTCCATCTGAATTTTTTCCCATATGTAAGTCTCATGATTCTTAGAACATTCTAAAATTTTCAGCGCAAACAGATGTTTCTTTCTCAAGATAATGAATGCGCAAGAAATACTCATTTCACGGCGCGGTCAGAAAATCCAGTTTGTTTTTGAAAATTCAATATTTTAAGAAGGAAACATTTATTCGAGTTGCAACTTTTAGGATCTTTTATGGACCATAAAACCTATATATGGTAAGAATTTCAGGTCGAAATTACGTCATTCACAGAGGGGAAAATGCTTTTCAATTTATGGGATTTGGGGATTTTCTTGGGACTTTCAAAATCCCAAAAATCCAATTTTTCCCCCTTGGTGCCTTGTCAAAAAATGATCAGAGTTTTCTTTGGAAAATACTGATTTTCATTATATAAAAAGCTATAAATAATAGTATTCTTCTCAAGCACTAAAAGATTCAAAATTCAAAATATATACGGAAGGAGCTATTACGTGTGGTTTCGTATGTACTCTATTTTAGTAGATTGTAATCAGTAGTATTCATTTGTTGGACTATAAATAATACGTTAAAAGCTTTAATTACACAACGTCTCTTGGCTGTTCGGTGCACAGGTACGAGCAATGAAGAATCACACGATGAACAGATAACAAAAAGAAATGAGTGCATAAGATAATTCAAATAAAGAAAATAGAAGTGAAATTAAATTAATAAATCAAGGGAAACTGAATTACACGTTAAAATCGCGTCAATAAATTTCGTTTCACCTAGAAGTCTGACATAAACGTAAAATGCATATTCATTTTCTTAACATTTTTTTATATGCACTGTCACTTCCACGAGACAGATAAAAAATACAACGATGAATTAAACTCAACATTTCTGGATTTGTCATTGAAATTCTTTCTGCTAGTGACATAAACGATCTAGTGAAGACTGCTCAGCTGCCATGGAAAAGGCACAGCGATAAAAATAAACTCCTCGAAGTAATTCGGTATTCCTATTCGGTAAGATTTGAACTATATGAATTCAATATCTCATAAAAGTCACCGTATGATTATGACCAACAAAGTATTCATTTCAGATTCTAAACCTATATTAAATGGTATCCTTCATGAAAAATAAATAAGAAAGAGCAATGTGGCGACATTCCAAAACTCAATTAACTAGCTTCGAAGAATTTCAATCATAAGTTTTTACCTTCAGTTCACGAAGAAAGTTTTCAACAAGAAATCGCAAAAGATCGTTGCATAGCTATTCTATCGTATATCTATCTGAATGTCTTCCTCATGTAATGATCTTAGTTTTATACTATGAGTTTTTTTTAATGATCTCAGGTATTGCTTCCACGAAAAGTTTGTCCCTACCTTTTCTTTTCTTACAAGCTGCACTTTGGTTTATGAGCGTTCAAGTAAAAAATAATTACCATGCACTACTTAAGAAAACGGATTCTTTTATAGATACCTGTGCTTTTATTGATTAGAACTTGTTAGCCTTCGTGTAGAAGAAGAATTATAGAACATGAAAACGTACGAAACCTAAGCATGAAATAATAATAGTCTGCTTTAATTCGGAAAAACAAACAGTTTTTTCTATTTTTTCAGAACTGCGTAAAAAAACTCGATTACATGAAGTTATAAAATAAGAAACTAAAATTACGGAAAAGACAGGTGAATTAATTCAACTACGATATTTATAGTTAAAAATGCTGCGTCATGCTTATTTCTCATGTAAAATAAGTATAACCTGACAGATATTAAAAAAAAAGATAATTTGATATAATTACTTGTGCCAAAATGAATTTATTCCAAAGCATAGTAAGAAAATATTAAATCTAAGACTGTAGATTTATGAAGAAAGACTATTTTTTCTCTGTCTAATTAGCTAGTCATGCAAATATCTGAATTATATTGTCACGTATTTAGATCTAGTTTCATCGAGAACATGAGAAGGTAAATACCAAGCAATTACACTGCATGAAGATAGAGTAACAAATTTTTACTTCAACGTATAATGTGTATTGTAGTATGTTTTTATTGGTCTGCATAAAATGAATGAACGGACAAGTTTTTTTTGTGCACGTTCAGTAATAATATAAAGACGTATGATCTGTGGCATTCATTAAAAATAATTCTAATTAGAATTTTATTTTAGAATCACGACAACTGGAATTTAATGAACTTGATAAAGCTAATAAGAATATTCTCTATATTTGACATTGGTAAAGTAACGGGAAATAACTTTCATAAGACACGATAAGTAATTGTTCGTTCCAGCGTAATCTTGACAGCAGCTTAGATGAGAAATGAACTAATAGATAATATATTTACTGTAAACTGTAGGGTGAAGTCAGATGCATGTTATTATCTGACGTGATATATTGGTTCTCATAGAAAGTCTTGCGTGATATATTAATACTATTTTTTTCCTTTTTCTCGCGAAGAGGAAATATTGGGAAGTTGATATAGTCAACTATGGTTTACAATAGTATATGAATCGATAATAAGATCAAAGTTTGATCTCGAAATACAAAATTATATTTTTGATATTTATAGAACTAGAAATATAATATAATTTTTCATGATCACTTAGCGCATGCCAATCAAATTATCAAGCTTCAATTCATAGTTTTGGTGAGCAAGCAACAATAGAGGATTTTTTTCTTATGTATTGAATTTGAGTCAATCATGAGTAGATTGATTTAAAAAGCGCCTTTTGTCTTCTCGAATTCTTAACTAAGATTGCAGAACCTAAAATATTGACTCTAGTATATTTGATGACACAAAAAGTCGATCCTGTTAGATTCATATCTAATTCATGTTTTGTTTTTTTTTGAAGTCTAAACTCAGACTTTTTCATGATTGTTAGTGAAGATTTTTTTGAGAAATTTAATCCAAAACCAAAAATCATGAATATAGGATTGAGAACCAACTAAAAAAACATTGAGGTGCTTTCATATAAGAATGCACCGATAGAATATAGCTGTGCTTTATTTACATAAATGTAAATAGTAGAGAATTGTAAGAACGTAGTATAAAATAAATGAGGAAACATCGGATTCGCATCCGATTGTTATGTGTACTACAAAAACTGAGTCGATTTATATATGTTTTGAATAATTCTGAGGAAAAACAATTTCTTGAAAAAATTCCTGTGCCCCCCCCCTCAGGGATGGTCTGGTCAATAATGACAATTTTTTCGATAACTCATCCATTTCTTGACGGATCCTTCTCAACTTCGAACACGACTGAGATATTAATGAGATCATTATGTGTACAAAATTTCAAGACAATTGGATGAGACTTTCAAGAGTTATCATGTTAACGGCCGGACACTGACCGAATCTCAGTGTACTCATTTTTTTGAGTACACAAAAGAATGTTGACCGCGTAATCATGACTACGAGAAAAAATGCTTTCACGAGCGGAAATGGAGATTATAGTTAACTACTCTATAATTTAAAGTGAATCATTTTATAAATCATGCTAGTAAGAACGTAATTCCAGTGCCAAAATATTAAAAAAATCGTATGAAAGATATTTTTGGATATGGGTCGAATATAATTATTTTTCAATAGATTTTTGGTTGAATGAAAACAAAATTAGTTGGTCCTAAACATATTTTTAATCATTAGACATTAAAAAGGAAACACAACTACGGAATAAGAATAGAACAACAAAGGCAAAAATTCAAACGTTGAGTAAAATAATGATCACCGATAGATTGAGTCTACATTACGCACGAGTAAGTTTTTATCAGAGACCGTCACAGGGCAGGGCAAAAAATTTTGCCCTGCGCCCTGATAATTTTTCCTATAAACTGATATACAGCAGATTTTTCAGTCGATTATGCTGACATGGTGATGGATTATAATGTATGTCATTATGCGCCAGTCACTGTGAAATTTGTTACTATGTCTAGTTCGGACAATACCAGTTTACTCATTTATTATCTTATAATTCAATTATAAAAATAAAATACTGCTTCAAAGAGAAATGCAAAACATGGCAGAATCATTTGATATTGTATAAGAGAACGAGCTAATTTAAGAATTATGTGTATGATGAGGTTTTTTTCTAAATGATTTCAGACATGAGCTTAGTGTTCCGGAGGAAATTCCACTTAAAGATTCAGCATGTTCTAATGGTAAATTTCTTCGCATGTTTTAGTTTTGTATATTTAGTTCTCTATGTTTTAAATTATTTTCACTTGATTTGAACTCGCCCGGTTCTACAAAATCAGAAAATCTCTTGTTTCATGATAAATCTTACCGTCCCATAATACACAATGAATCTCTTGCTACTGGTACATTTTGAAGAGTCTTTATTTATCCAGCACGATGAGTTGAGGAGAATAAATGTGAAAGCTTTACTCGATTTCTCACTTATTCAAATTATATACATATTCAATTCGCCAGATCACGATAAGCGCATTATTTTTGCAGTGAACTGATTTTTGTGATAATCTTAATTGCTGTTTGCTACTCATATTTAATTATGTTTTAAGCGCATATCTATATTTTATCGAATATAGATAAATAAAATATGAGTACTTTACTTTTCAGCGGTTACAACATTTTCATTTAGTCTTTACCTTTTTCAATATTTCAGTTCAATTTATAATCATGCTCTGCCCTGCCCTGTTTCAGGGCAGAGCAGGGCAGGGCAAAAAAAGTTGCCCTGTGACGGTCTCTGGTTGTTATAGACGAACAACAAACAATCTAATAGAAGTTCTATTTAACACAATGAATCGAAATAAAGAAATATGATAGACTAGAAAAAAAATCTTACGTAGTTTATATGCATTCTTCATAAATCTCCTGAAATGTTGGGTCCTAACCAAAGAATACTCGTTAGTAGGAGATACAGACAAAAGCAGAAATTGTGTTTACAATAAAAGGTTGTTTCTTCTCTGTTTTCTCTAACATAAAAGCAAGAACTCTAGATTGATAGGTAAACCAATATCCGATAGAATAGATAAAAGCAACGACAAAAAAATGACGGCATTTCGAAAAATGCTTCGATCCGGATTTCTTTTCGAATATTTTCATTTTTGATACGAAAACATTGAAATCAGCTGCTCCAAATACTATAAAATGGTGTGTGATAGTGTTTTAAAAAAGAATTTTTTCAAGAAAATAAGCCTAAGTAATTCCTACCACAATATTTTGATGTGACTAAATTGAATGCGTGACCTGTCATAAATGCTCTAAAGCAACATTTTTTATATTTTATAACTAAATTTATCCTGGCGCATGTCGGCGGGCACATTTAATAATGAAAATACAGGTGATACAATATTTTCACAAAAGTCATGATTAAAACATTTTCATAGTTTCTCGACTATTTAGATGAATAGTGGAAATCAGTCAAAAGGTAGATTTATGATTTTTCTTATCGCAACATATAATCTTCCGTGTGCAAATAATGAACTCTAATGGAAATCGCCACACCGTTTTCGCCTTATTTCAAGTTATAATTCTCTTCGTGAAGAGTGATTTGCAAACATATGTTACTTTCTCTAGAAAACAAAGTTCTTTTTATTTGAACTCCCTCTCTATGTAAGTATCAATTGGTATTGACTTTTCCCACTCAATTCTAAAGCAATAGATCTGGAGAATTTAGAATCATTGTCATGATTATGAGTACATTTTTCAAGAATTGAGATAGAAATCATCGAAAACTGCGATAGAAATCGATATGCGATCATAAACCAGATATGAATAACGTCTTATTATAATATAAGAATATCTTCATATGACATTTCTAGTAGATTAAGTCAACAGATATGGTAAAGAAATGAATTCAGGAAACAACTTTCTTGCGATTATTAACACCCATTGCGTCGCGTATTATTTTTTTTATAGCTAAAAAACAAATGACAACTTAGTCGAAGAGCCAGAATCTTGGTCTGAAGATTAGACTCAAAGATTTCTGAATAGAGTTGAGTATTCCCTATCTAAGAATTTTCAATCAATACATTTATTCCTATTTGTATATTTCGTAATGAAAACAAGATTATCGTGTGCGAACAAAAACAATCTGTGATGAATAACACTCAATCGACAGTAGAGAAATACCATTAAAAAACACCTGAATAGTCCGTCAATATTTCGTTTATTGCATGATAGCACATTAACGACACTCATAAAATAAAAGAACCTTTCATTCAAAACTCGTCAGTTTCTTAAGAACTGAATACGAGTCTATTAATTCGATTCTATACATTCTTTTTTCCTCGATAACTTCTTTCTATGGAACGAAAAGAACGAAAAAACAGCACAAGTATATTCGATTTATCAATATACTCTATCAATCCCTTTCCTTTAATATTTAATTAGAACTAATTATAATGAAAATTGATTTCTATGTAGTTTGTCTTTACTGGCTGATATTAAAGCAAATAAAAATTTTACATTCATTTTGCAAAAACCAGTACGATCGTTTTATCAAATCATTAATTAGTTCTTCTATGTATATATATGAATAATATAGGTAGATATTTAACTACCTTTTGTACAAGAAACGAAAAAAGAACGGAAGAAATCGAAAGAGAGAAGTCTACTGTCAGAGGTAGTATAACAAGATTATTTTCTCGTAGTTATTCATTTATTCGGCCTCATAATACTTAAAAAATACTTAGAGCATTCGAATAAAATATTAATATGCAAAAGACAGCAAATGTTTGGCATTATTTTTTTACGCACTCAATCTTAAATGCTTCAAAAGCAACATTATTTTCAACATCCATGACGCGATTCAATGATACTCAATGGTTTGTTTGGAGATATTCATCGCATGATGAAAACGCATCTGCTTTAATGTAAGATTTAAGATATTGATCTCCACCTGGAAAAACTAAAAACGAATTCATTTCAATTTTAGAGGTGTGGTAATTCTTATTCCAATAATATTCGCTCTGATTATATGCATATGTCTATGTTGTATCTATCGATATAGACAGCAACAACTTCCACGAAATACTACAGATTTGCCAATAGGTAAGTGAATGAAAATTAAAATAGTTTTTCTTCTAATTATTTTTTCATTTTTCATTAGAATTAAGTGACCAACGTAAAATAGCTGTATCGACAATTTTTTATAATTCTAACTATGATCCGATTGCTTTTGAAGAACTTCCACCAGCTTACTATGAAATATCAAAAGCAAAAACTGAACCATTATTAGCCACAGGAAATATAATACCATCGAAAAGTTCAAATTAACATTCATAAAATATGAAACAACGATAAACATCAATTCAATTGAACATATTTATCTTTACTTGTTAACATAATAAACCAAGAGTTCTTTAAATTTCATGATAGCATTGTGCCTATATAATTCGAATTGAATGAAAACTATAGGTTGCCCAATACTGAAATGATCAGCTGTTTCCTAACTCTAACCAACTGTGATATACCATCAGTTGTTCTCCCATTAATAATCTGCTGTTGGTAGTTTGAAGTATACGGAACGTGAAATTTCTATAGTTTTCTTTTGATTTTGATACTTTCGGAATTTAAAAATTCCATTGTTCTTATATTTCTGTGTTTATTCTTCTATTGAATAGAAAATCAAACCACAAGCTAAGCTGTGTTAAATAGTTATTTTTCGACAAAAACAATTGGTTGCATTAGTTAGAAAAATATTTTTTTATGTGATCAAAACGTCAATCAAATTGCTTGAGTTTGTATGAGTGCATTCAGTATGGAAAATTCCTAGATTAATTTAGTTGTTAATACTATGAAAAAATCCAGATTTTTCTTCCGGAGCGCATTTGTTTTTAAACAACCGCGCCGATAAAAGGCCCCCGATGAATCATGCCAACAGAATTGCACGTTGAGTGCAAGAAAAAATCGACAATTTTCAAATGAACGTATTTTTAGTACTTTAACGTTAATTTTTTTACATTCAATATGACAAAACTTAATTGAAATTTTAATTTTCTTTTTCATTCCTAATTTGTTCTAATTCTTAAGTAATAAAAGTGAATTTTTTTTATAAATATTTCAATTACTGACTTGTAAACTATTTTGTTTTCAAATTGTTACATAGAAACATGAATGATGGAGGGAAAGATGTCTTTCTTTTTTCATGTCCGCTAGCTACCCTAAAAAAAGTTGAGAGTAAGAAAAAAAAGAAAAATCTTAATTTTAACCGTAAAGAATAAAACCCAAGCATCGTTTATTTTCTTGTTCTTCGAAAGAAAAAAAATTCAATGGTAAAAAAAGCAGTTTCTGTTTTGCTTCTGTTTCTTCAAAATCTCCAAGTTAAAGAGTGCTCGGTATTCAAGCGTGTGCGGACGCGCACAAAAATTGCGAAAAATAAAAAATGATCATTGAAATCGGTTGTATTTTATATGTATCTCTGATACAGCACGTATGTAAAATTAAGATTAGATCGTATGATTTTGTTGTTTCTTTCCTATGTAGATTCAAGCTAATGAAAACTGTTATTATGGAAATGAAACAACTATTTCAACAATTAAGTCAGTTCATTTTCAAATTTTATATGACATAGAATATGTGTAGTAAAATCTTTATATATTTTTACATTTAAGCTGTGCAGGTAGCTGTTGTCCTGGTCCAGCTACTTCTGCACAAACAGCATGTTGTTCTTCTAGCATCTCATGGGAATTGTAAGCTATTGAAAATTTTTGATTACTTAACAATACATAGTTATTTATTTTCAGAGCAATACCTATTCTTGTTGTTGTCATGATTTGTTTTGTTGTTATTTGTTTGAGATATTTTCGGTCGGGCTTTCATCTTTGCTGTCAAGAATGTAGGTGTCCACGTCGAGGACGGACCCGAGGTAATTTTCTTTTAAACAATGCTAACTTCACTCCGTATTAGATATTTCATTAAAACCTAGCTACATTATCAAGTCAGGCACCAGCGAATAACAATCCGATTTTTATCGTAAACAATCAAGATTTGCCTGATTATGAAACGGTCACCAAAGATACATTGACCAAAGATGCAAATCCTCCATCCTACAATTTTGTTGCTGCACATCCGAGTGATTTTGATACTGACGCACGTGTGCCAAGTTCACCACCACAATATCGTTCACGATCTAATACAGCAGTAGTTACAACAGAACCAAACGCATCTGTTTGACTATATTTTTTTGTACATATGATTGTTTTTTTTTGATAATTGGTACTCCATTGAAATCGAAATTTCATTTTTTTGAAAGATTTCAAAATGTTTTTGCATTGAGATGCTTATTTTAAGCAAGAAAAAAAATACAAGAGAATAATATTATTTTACTTTTGCAGGTATGAAATTTAATATACTACTCGTCGGTTTTTAATAGTTTACACAGATCCTTAAGATATGTAATTGTTTGTGTATAGAAATGCTTATGATGGACATGTTTGTTTTATGTATTATATATGCATCGGTACTTCTTATCATGTGACAGAGAATAGATGGCATCCGTAATCTCATCATTGATAGTGTGACACATGTTCTACTGCTCATATATCCGTAGGCAAAAATCAATTGATGCCAAAAGAAAGAATCGCAGTATGATCTTCTTATTTCAGCTTAGAGTAGGCAAGAAAAAAAATCAAAGAACTTCATTGATGGATAACAATTAATGTAGTAGGAAACGGTAAAGAGAAAGAGAGAGAGAGAGAGAAAGAGAGGAGGAGGAGAAACAAACAACATCAATCCCCAATAGAGGAAGTATACCATATCTTTGATCTTCCATAATAAATTCATTGCATTTGACACTTTGCTTTGTCGAGCTTTCTGATAATCACAGTGATTAGTCTCATGAGGCAAAACAAATCGGAAGTACACCAGTGATATTTTATATCCGTTGTTTTCTGTTTGAAATCGTCTTTTGCATGAGTAGACGTCGGCATGCTGAGAGTTCAGTCTGACACCTACGTAGTAATAAATGACGCGTGCTTGGCACACCTGACAACTGTGCTTTTCTTTTCTTTTCTTTTGATTTCTTTTGCTACTTAGCAATTAAGTATTACTTTTCTAATGCTTCTAGTAGTAAAATCAACATTGAACTCATCCAAGTATATTTCTCTTTTGATGATACCGACTTCTCTTCATCTTTCGATTGATCACATCGAAGAAAAGACATTAAGTACACATTGACATCAAATGCATGATCGATGCACATAGCTATATCGATGAATATGAACAGCAATATCTAATTAAGTGTTCCGGCGATAATTATATGAGAGGAGAAGAATAATGAATTTATTTGATTTTAATTATGAATGTGAGAGATCGCTTTGTTGCTCCTTTTCTAGCATACAGTTATAGTAAAAACATTTTCCGTATCCATCGTTCGCATTTGATAACTACTCATATATCAGGATAAAAGCTAACAACAAAGCCTAAAGTCAAAATTCTAAAAATACTATAAAGAATTAATAACATGACTGTAGCTAAGTTACTGGCATGAATTTTCTGCAGATTATTCTGAAGCTATCTAAGCCGACATAATTGCAAAACATGCATTGAAATGATATGTCAAGTTGGTTTTTTTTTGTTTCATTATTATCGTATTTATCATCAGCTACTCGTCCAATACATACTCATTATTACAATGAGAGGAAATGAAAAATCTCATCTTGTCTGTTTATCCTAGATTTCTATATACTTGTAAACATATTTTATACGCGCGTGTGGTTTATCTCACGTAGACAGAATGACGCCTATGACGTGCTGTTTACAACAGAAAAAATAATAAAGAAATAGATAATAATAATAATAAAAGAGAAGGAGAGAAGTTCGTCGCGACAATGAATGAACACCTGCAGTCGACGCCAATATCATGCAGATTGAAAATAACTGACATCAAATTGCCATTAAATTGACTTTTATTGAAACATAATCGATAGACTAATATTATTGTTTTTCTCATTCTTTTTGTTTCCCCCCGATTTACCCACTCCACCTCTTTTATTTCCTACCGTGACTATAACATGAACATCGATTTTAATATTTGTTAATGAATCCATATATAAATTTCTCTTGCGCGCTCCCCAACGAATTGTATGTCTAGTCTTCATCATCCATTCGGCATCTCTTTGAAAGTATGCACAACACAAAAAAAATTAGGGCGCGTGGCAGTTTGCAAACATTGACAGGTACAATATAGAAATTAATGCGGTTGAACATCAAATGAAAAAATCTTGGTCAATTGAGACATTGTATTTCTGATGAGTGGTTCGATACGATATAGAAAGATCATTTGTCTGAATTGATCTTTTTGACAAAAAAACAAAACGAGAACAATGACATAGACACAAAAAGGAGTTAAGAGCCATTTTTTGTCTATTCATTGAATACCTTATTGTTTTGCACGACATGATCCATTCATAGTCGTTCATGCGTATGTGCACCGTATTGTTATTCATTTACTAAATGATTCGCATGCATTTCTTGAATGCAAAAACAACAGGAAGAAACTATTCAATTGTTTTTAAAATAGGATCTATTTCTCATTCATACATATAAAGAACAATTACTCCGCCTATCAATATGATCGATCGTAATCTCACGTGTCTAACATATTCGTGTGAATTAGCACATCGAAGGTGTACTATGTACACATCGCGAGAACAGTTAATCCTTTTCTCAACTCATCATATAATTAATTCAATTTTCCATATCGGATATGATCGATCATATTGACAAAATGTATATTAAATAGATTTCAATCGCATGTTATAAATGTTTACCTTTGTCTGACTCATGGCTGCTTCTTTTTTTTTACATACTAAAGCAATTAAACTAGAAAAATAATGATCATGAGAACAATAAGTATCCTCAAACGACACGTGTCATTCAGCGAACAATTGATTTATTCTTTGCACCTGCGTTTTAACTCTTTCATTGTATCTTCGATAGACAACAGGGAAAGATAAAATCAACAAAACAATTCAATTGTTTTGTAAAGCAGGTCAATCAATAAAACATCATCATCGTTTAGATTAAAACATAGATTAGCAAGCTATTTAATATGACATGAGTCCATAAAAAAAAAGAAACAAAGAAAAACATGTATTTACTGGAACATTTTTTTAAGTATCATTCACCAATTGATTTCTTGATTAAAATTCCATTATAATCTCTTAATCGGCATATGCTCCTCCCTTGATACATTCTATCAATTCCATTTAACACTCAATTATCTTCATTCTCAGATAACATATACAACTAAGTGTTTTGTTTCACTTAGTAAATACTAAAGAGATTACTTGTCATGCTAGGCATTCAATATGAATACAATAGAAATCGATTGTTGACTGAATGATTCTTAAACAAGAATTACATAACAGCATTGTATTTTGTCACATCACACTTATGATTACAAGACGTATATAAGAGTACCTACACTTGTATGTGACATGAACAAGAAATGATCATATTCGCATGTATATGTGAAAATTTTTATAGCAAAAAAAAGAACCTACGTATGAAAAGATGATGGCAACATTTCATGACACTTGAAAGATCAAATAACGGGAAAAAATTGGATAAAAATATTAGTGAAAGCTCTCTCCAAAAAAGATTTATTTTTAAGTCAAAATTTTAATTAGTTCGCTTTTGTTTATTACTACAATCTGTTCTTTGTTATCATTTAGATCGATTAGTCAGTAAGGTTTCGTCCAGCAAATTTTCATTGATTAGCTTTGTTCATTTTCTATTCTGCGACCACTCACTATGAATGAATGAAGTGTAGCGTGTAGAAAGAAAGAGAACGGTCAAGTTGGATCGATGCCAACAGAAAATAAAAAGATATAATTAAAAAGTAGCTTGTCTGTTGCCAGACAACACATACTCGCGAAAAGTTGACCTTTAAGGACGACAGGAAGGAAAAGAAACGAAAAGTGAATTGTACACGAAAGAAAGAGAAAGGCGACCTGTCGCTCTCGCTCGCCTGTGGTCTAATGGTCAATAGCGGAAGAGAATGAGAGAGAAAGAGAACATAATTATAGATTGTTTCTCTCTTCGTCGATAAGGATAAATAGGGAGTAGTGACCGTCAATCAGTCATTCTATCACAAACACGATTGCTTGTCGAACGTACACGCACACACACATACTTTTTCCTTTCCTGATTGTTCACACGCGACACATTGCATCACTTACACGTGTGAAGTAGCTATATGACCTATGGCTAATACAATCGTAATACCCTATCCGACAATAACAACTTTTCGTACACCTAAACGACATCAATGGCGTCGTTATACAACAACCATGACAATCAATACAAATCAAAAACATCATTCCTCGTATTCATCTGTTGTACGTAAATCAACATCGAATCTACCTGATATTATTAATGATTGTCATAATCGACGAGACGATATAATTAATTCAAACGAAGAAATAAAATTAATGTGTAAACAAATCGCACATTCACTTCGTCTTGTTGCCGATCAAGTCGATAAAAAATATTGTCAAGTAAGTGTGAAAGATTTCCTATGGTTTTTGTTTTTCAATTACGAATTTATTATTGATTACTTAGGATGGTAAATTCCATCGACATATTCATTGTTTCACAATACGTTTTGTATTACATACAACACATATTCGAACAATAATTTATACATTATGGACACGCGCATTTTTACCAATTATTCTATGGATTTGCAAGGCCAAATCTTTGTTTTGAAACGAACAACAATTATTATTGCATACTGGTTTTAGTCAATTTTTTGTGTGTGTTTTTACATAAATGATAAATATATATATATGTGTTGATATAATTTCAATAGTTACTATCTTTTTTTTCTTGTTTGTTGTTCGAAGAACAGTGTGTCTTGTATGTTTGTATTTGTTTAAGTAAAAAGCTCATAGATGATTTGTTTTTATTGATATGAGCAATTTTGAATAATAAAACAAACAACGATATAATATCCATAATGGGATTATCAGATTCAACTTGTATATTTTCTTACAAATACGAACAACAATACTACACATGCAGTCATTAAAATGAACTTGTATTTATTACAAGAGCAAATAGCCACATAATACACTAACACCGACGACAGCTAATTGAGCGATACGTTTTAGTTTGAGTCTTTGTTTCGGATAAGTATCATTTGTAATATGATTAGTAATGAAAGTATTTGTCAGCATGTATGATATTAGTTTTTGTTTCAGTTCAGTTAATGTAACTGATTGCAGATTTTGATTGTTATTTAAGATTATATTCGTTGAAGTGGAGTTATTTATTGATTGTTTCGTTGTTAATTGAATATTAAAATTAACGGCATGTAATATAATAGGACGCGCAGATGATCTTAAAGGATAAGAAGGCATCATCATAGGAGAATATATTTGATGTGGTGATATTGTTCTGAATGAAGATATTGGTGAAGAATTCGGAAAAGATGCTTCAATTGTTTTTGTTTGAACATTTTTTAATTGGTCTTCGAAAGCATCGAAGATAATGTTAACAATTGGTTGTACCATTTTAACAGCTGTTTCCATTGAATTCAAATTATTACTTGTTAAACGGTCATTATTTGTTGATGATGATAAAGGTTCTTGTTCATCTAATTGATTAATATCAATAGTATCGTCATCGATGAGTATTGGGGAATTCAATGAACGATGATTTGTAATGATTGAGTCATCATCAGTAGACACTCGTGTTCGTTTTGTTGGACCCTGATAATCTGTTAATAAAAAAAGATGGTTTAAAAAGTTTCAATTCGATTAATAAAATCTATTTTTAAATAGCGATTTCAAATCAACGTACGTGTTAATTGTAGATTGTTGAGAGACGACTGTTTAGTATTCGTTAGCTTTTCATCATTCGGATCAGGTAACATGTCAAATGTTTTTATTTGTGATAGTTGACTTGAAAGACTTTCACATGATAATGTACTATTTTTTCTTTTTTGATTTTGTACGTTTAATGTTGTTACCTGATTATTATTGAGATCACCATTCGTTTTCATAGAAGTGTAGGATATCGATGGAGAATAGAAGGCACTTTCCGTAGTTACACTTTCTGAGAGTACAGTGTGCGATACAGTGTTTGCTTGATCATATTTTAGATTGATCGGATAGGTATATATAGTCGATCTATAGAATGGTTCGACTTCTTCATTTACAATTGGAGATTCACAACATGTACGATTGTGTTTACTTGGAGTTAATTTTCTTTTCCATGAGCGAAGACGTTTTTGATAAATGTTATTTGTATTATCATTGTTGATATGATTTATTGAAGACGATAGCGTAATATAATCTTTATCGTTTGATCTTCGTTTCATATTATTTAAATTTTGAAGGAAGATTTCAAATGGAGAAAAAATAATTATCAAAATATTGTAAATAGGGCGGGTATTAAAAATATTTTTAATTAGCACGACAAAAATTGACAAGTTCCAATCAATCGACATCTCTCAATGTCTGTACAGCTTAGAAAAAAGAATTAATTAATCAAAATTGAAGAACATGTGCACGATCTAAGAAAACTTCTTTGAAAATCTTCATCGTTTTAAACGGTTCATCGATGAGTGACAAATATCTTGATCAACTAAATTAGTGCGTATCAATTAAGAAAGTTTTCTGCATATTATACCTAAACAGGATTGTTTGCCTTGACAAGCTAGGGATCAATAACTCACTAATAGTTCAAATCGACTTAGTAGAGTTTATTGCGCATGATGGAAACTGGTTACTTTTCATTTATACGTTACTAGACTTCGGATAGTGAAATGACTGAATTGAGTATGACAAGTAGCCGCTATTTATAACTTAGTCAAAATGTTGTAATATCTTGACTCGATCAATGGAATGAAATAATATCACCAGTTTACTGTCACGGATCGGATTGATCACATTCAGTCTAATAGAAAGAATCAGAGATTCTAACTTTTATAATTGATTTTTATTCATTTTCTCATCCGCGAAACCTTTTGAAGATCTGTAATCAAACCAATTCATAAATGAATAGAGTAAAATACTTTCCTAAGAAGTGCAAAATACAATCTGATAAAAAGTTTTTTTTTTTAGTTACTAAGATTTGTTAATACTTTTAAAGATGGTTTGAAAGTATGTAGCAAACTCGTTCCTTTTGCATCTGGCATAATGCACAAAGGATTGATTTATAGACAAGCTCGACTACAAGATTCTATTGAATAGAAGTATAAAATCAGAAAGTATTAAAAAAAAAATTAATGTCGAGCTAAGCTTCGTTCAATTCCTTGACTTTGCCAATGTCGTGCATGTTCGAAGCCATTTTTGCATGATTGATAATCTTCCATAGCTTGTTGAATTTCTAGAAGAATGAAAGAAAAAATAATCAATCGTCTGTTGTTGATATGCAATAATATTATCTACCTTCAGAGGTGTTCATTACAAATGGACCATGTTGAACAATAGGTTCATTCAATGGTTGACCAGCAATAAGAACAAATCGACAGTCATGTTTATCACTTGTATTACGAAAATCAAAACCATCACCGTCTTGTGATAAAATAAGTACATGATGTGCATCAACCGATGCTTTTTTCGAACCAAATTCACCTTGTCCACTGAGGACATAAGCAAAAGCATTCCATCCTTGTGGTATTGCTTGAGTAAATAGAGGTGCGTTTGGTTTAAGTGTGAAGTCGAGATACATCGTTGGTGTACGAGTATATACAGGAGATTTTACCGACATTGATTCACCGGCACTAAATCGAAACAAGCTTTAATCATGAGTTTATTTACTCAACAGAAAAATACATACATAATTTTTACATGTACTAAACCATCAGGTGTCGCTGCACGAGGAATATCTTTATCAAGTAATTCTTGATAGTTCGGTTCAACCATTTTGTATTTTTTACTTAAATTAACCCACAATTGAAGACCATGACCTTCGCCAGAGTTTTCGACTGGCATTTCACAATGAACAATACCTCGACCTGCAGTCATCCATTGAAGATCGCCTGGATTAATAACACCTCGTCGTCCAGTGAAATCTTCATGTTCTGTAGCTCCTGTTATCATATAAGTAACTGTTTCGAAACCTCGATGTGGATGATCAGGAAAACCAGCTGGTGCCGAAACTCGAAATTCATCGAGCATTAAAAATGGATCAAAATTTCGTACCTAAAGATCATAAGTGTATATTAACTTCAAAAAAAATTCGTTCAGCTGAAAACGAATCTACCATACTTTTGAAGTTCCGATTGATCGTCGTACTCGTGCACCCACGCCTTCGCTTTGTTCAGCACTGAGAATCTTTTTCTCAACGTACCGTGTCATTGTTCGATTGGTATTGGTAATTGTGGAGAAAAGTGCTCTATTTATACAGAAGAAATGTTTAATCATGCATTGATGCTTGCATCAAGATGACAGCGCACTGTATTTTGAGTTTAATTTAACCACTTATATGACGAAGCAAAAAAATTGCATGAATCATGTTACAAGCAATAGGTACCAGATTCAATAGAGGACTCTCCTGTCTAGATTGATGACGTTTTCCAAGATATGTACAGCAATACCCAAGAGAAGCTGTCATAAGATATAATGAACAATTATGTACTTCCTACTACCGATATCTATCATTCTAATAATCTCAAGAGAAGTATCAAAAATGCTCCCGAACAGCTATAAAAATAAATCAATTTCTCCTCCTATAAATAATATATGAATTATGACCGGCTTCACCATATTCTATACTCTTAGACACGAGTGAATATGTGTGAACTGTATCCAATATAGTACACATGGAAAAAAAATCAAAACAGACTTATGAAGTATAGGAAAATAAGATGAAAATTTTCTTTGAAAGAAATTAATTATCTACAATTTCAAAATTACCCCTCTAATCTCAATGATTATAACGATTCTTTGCAGATATTTTATTACTTTTATCTACAATACACACTTATAAAGGAAAAAAATCAATGTGGAATATAAGAAGGTCAAAAACCTATCATTCAATAGCATTATAAATCTCCTATCTACCAAAATGAAGTTGAAAAAAGGACACTTCATTGAAATCTCTTCAAAAGCCCCAGAGAAAGTTATGAATATGATCCTATTCGTAGTAATAATAAAATATCCCAACATATTAATCCTAAACGATTTAAGATTTTCTAATAGCTTTGTAAAGACAACAATAAAACACATGCTTGTTGCTATTCTATTCTTACTCTGACAGCCATCACGTCTGCGATCTACGTCACAGTAGTAATTTTGCTATCCATTCAATAGTTAACTCATATCGGGCAAGTAATGACTATCGATTTGTTACATGATTTTCAACTCGACAGTGGCGGCGGAGCCACTGAGACAGGTGAGGCTTGAGCCTCACCTAGTTTTCAGTAGATGAGGCTCAGCCTCACTTGCTTTTGTACTGAATATTGCTATTTTCTTGTTCTTGCATCAGAGTAGAAGCAAAGAAAACTAGTTTTCGGTNATCAACGGTTAATCGGAAAAATAACCGCCAGCTAGCGATATAACCGATGACTTGTCCGGTTAACTGGGAGGTTAACCGCGGTTAACCGTTGGTTTTTACGCTGTAAAGTCGCTAAAATGGCTTAAATAACCGCGGTTAACCAATTTTTATAAAAATTGACCGCGGTTAACCGACGTTTTTCGATCGGTTTGTGCGACATAGGTACTACTTGATGTTTCATAAAATGCCACGGTAGCAAAAAAAATATGATGAGCCTCACCTAGCTTAATGATGCTCCGCCGCCCCTGCAACTCGAATATTTATTTCTATGTTAACGACATGAAGAAGTATCTTGAAGTTCATCAGTAAGATTCGATTCCCAGAGGACATTCGAGAGAAAAAACTACACAATTCAGTAATAAGCAATCTTTTTCAATGTGTTGAAATCTTGAGATCACGAGTCTTGTACTTCCTTGCTGCAGGCGAAGAAATGACTTGTTTATATAAACGGCGACCATCGATGTTGGAAAAGATGGCGCTGGACGATATTGAGCTGTTTTCAAAACATGACAAAAATTCGGCGAAAAAATTCTTTTCATATTTTGATTTTTGATAGACAGCATTTCTTGAATTTTATTTTAAGATGTTTTCAATTTTTATTTTCATTGGTTCCACATGTTGCACACGGCCTCAACAAAGGTCGAACCGAATTGTCAGTCATTATCATTCATTCCTTTCGAAAAGCTGTTCTTTCTCTTGACAGGAAAACCATTAATTTTTTTTTCGCCTGTATCTCTCGCTGTCTCTTATATATATTCGTCCTATTCATTACTACAAATAAAAACCTTGACAACAAGTACAGTACATTACAGTTGCTCCCTTTTTATTTACAAGATTATTATTCATATAAATTTTACATTAATTATCCATAAAATGGCTGACGCTAAAATTGATATGGCATTAGGTAAGACAGAATTTCCGTAGTACAATAGAAGATTTTATGAATTATTCTTTAGATGATATTATTAAAAAAAATCGTAATGGTCCCGGAAGTGGACGTGGTCGTGGCCGAGGTCGTGGAGGAAATTTAAATCAACGTCGCGGCGGCGGTGGCATTGTTGGACGTATCACGAAAAATACGAACAATAATCGCGGCCGTGGTGGCAACTTTCAACGTGGTAGAGGCGGCGGGGGCGGCCGTAATTCTTTTAATCAGCGAAATAATAACCGTTCAACCAAGTATGCAAAGAAAAAAATATATTTCCAAATTGAAAAAATAAGACAACTTTTCTTTTTCTTTAGTTTCCGTCAACAACGAGGCAGAGGAAACACAATTCCAGGTTTTAATCGTCGAAGTACAAACGGTGATAAACCTACTGCAACGGTAAATCATTTAACCAACAACTATTAAAATATTTAAATAACGCTGCCGTCTAACATCCGATCCTCTCTTTTAATTCTTATTGAATATATGTGTATGTATAACCGAGTTGATTCAACAAATATCTATATATTTCATTTACAATGATGTATATATATATGTATATAAATCTGCATTTGCGTCGTTTCCCTGGGTACGAGTGGTACTATGATCATGATATAATGTGTATGATAAGTAGGAAATTTATGGATAGAGGACGGCAGCATTGAACTTCGTCTTGATTGGTTTCTCGTTCGTTCCATTCAGTACAATCCATTGAGCCGTGATAACAATGCTGCAGCATCGAAGCAACAACGTCAACCACAAATTCAAACAACTCCACGAAGACAACAAGGTCAATACACACTCAAAGAATGTCTCTTATAGAATAAAATGTCATCTCATTAAATAGGTAGTATATTCAATAAGATTCGACCAAATCAAAATGTTAGTGCACTTCGACGACGTATGGTTGCTGCTCAACGTGCATTAAATCGTGCTACGAAAACACTTGCTGAAATTCCAAGAATGAGACAACAACGACAACGAATTCTTCAACAGCCACAAAAACTTGTAAAATAACTCACAATTCAATCACTCGTATCTAAATAATCATTTTCTATTGTTTTACTTAGAGAAACATCATAACCCGAAATAAACTCGGTGGTGGTGGTGGCGGCGGCATTCGTAAAAGATTAACAAATGCTCGAAAAGTAAGTATTCAATGAAAATTTTGTTACGTCATTCAAGAGAATTTTATTTTTTGCAGCCAATTGGCCGTGGTGGAACTCGTCGTATGTTTGTTTAAAATAATTTTGACAATATTTCTAAATCAATGAAACATTTTCTCTTTTTTTCGCGTGTGTGTGTGTGCGCCAATCTTTTGTTCTTGAATTAAACAGTTGTTATGTATCACTTGTGTTTTGCTTTTGTTTTTGTCATTTATATATTGTTAAAGAAAACCCGCACATTCAAGTAGCTTCTGCATAAAGAAGCAAATATGAATTTGTCCTCGTATTTACTCTTTGTATATATAAAAAGGGAATAAAAGAAAATAACAAAGCTTCGAAGAATTGGTACGCGTCTTCATCCCGATGAATCACCCAATCAATAGCAGAAAATGCACTTCGTGCGGACGCCACATGTCTAAAAAGTTTTTCAACAGTTTTTAAGTTGATAGTTTGTACTCGCAAATTAAGTAAAACATTTTAGTCAAACTCAATTTTCTTGCTCAAGTCGGGTTCACGATATCGTCTTTAATTGGCGACTATAGATTTATGACTATCGTTATCGTCTTGAATTACTTCATCTAACTCCATGCCGTCGATAATTATGACATGGGCTCTGTGGAAAACATGGTTGACATGCTCCGCCCAATATACTAGAATATCAACGACTGAAAGACAAGACAAGTGCATCAAAGTTATCGACTCCGACGTGGTTTTACTTATTTGATTAAATATATTTTCTATTTTCATTATTGTAGAATCACGAAAGCGATCAAAATCAATGTAAGCAACAAACCACAAGGTATATTTTTATTGACCGCTCAAGGCTTCGTTCTACTAATTGATTATTGTTTGACCCAAATAATGTAGAATTTTCTTTTATTGAACTTGTCGAATCTCATTCAACAGAAGGACAATGTGTGTATTCACGTATTAGCATTGATCAATCTCCAACAAATAATTTATCAAATATAGAACCAGATAGAGATTTTTCATCTTCTCAACTTGATGATTCAAGAACTCAGTCAAATAATAGTACAAAAAAAAGGTAATCCATTTATATGAACAGAATACAGCAGACTTGCAATAGAAAATAATTTAATTTTTTTAACCAATAGTACGCATCATTCGACGATGATGATTCTCAAGTTATAATGAAACAGAAAAATATGAAGCAACTACGATATCTATCACAATGATTCAAAGCGCTAGTATTGGTAATTTATTACAATGATATATTTAATTCTCCATTTCTTTCAGCTTTGTTCTCGTTTAGAAAAGTCTTTGCGCCGATCCCAGTGTAGAAATGAAACGGTTTCGCCACATCCTCAAACAAATGAATCAACTCGTTTATTTTCGAATGGTTTCGAAGAGTCACAAACAGTATTCTTCGACTTATATATAACTATCCGAGCTTGTGATTTTTCGCAGAGAAATGCTGCCCTTAACCACTTTGCACCAATTGTTCTCTCAACAAATCACACGAACCACAGTAGATCGTATGCGCAACACTTGGTGAATTTCCAGACTTGCTCTTCCTATTTACTCAAATGTTTGCCATATGACCTCGCAACCATAATACGTAGACGCAGGTTCTCCAGTAAGTTAAAACTTTAAGTTCATTCTGTTTTAATTTCTTTTTCTTCTAGACTAAAATGAATACTGTACTTGATCAATCAATAGAACAACGTTTAAACGAATCTGAACCAGCAACAATAACAACGACAACGCCTAAATAAAAAAAACAGCACCAACAAAATCAGTAATTGTACAAAGTTATAATGAAGACGAAGAAATATCGATCATGTCGCAGCCGAACGACATGAACGATGAGGTGGCCACATTAATGGAGTTTTTCATGAATGCCTTTTCATCACCATCTGCTCATTCGACTCCAAAGTACGGAGAATGGTCCGAGGTGTTGGTACATCGTCAAAAATTGTACGTTTATATTCTATCTTCAAACATATAGTACAAACCTTTTTTTTTTAGAAAACATCTTTGGCGCCCACAACTTGTCGGGCGATTGGATTTAGAAAAATTTATGGCACAACTAAGACTCGTAGCCAACCGAGTTCATTTTGAATTTCGCTGTCGTTGTTTCTCTTTAATTTTTCTTTCTTTCTCTGTCGAAATTTATTTGTCGATTGAAACATGTGTTTGATGTTATGTATCATTATTTATATGATTTTTGTCTAATAAAATATGTTTATTAGATAAAAATCGTTTTTTGCATTGACTACGGCTTTGATATAAAAGCAAAGAATGATATTTGTGCGCGAATGTATTTAAAAATAACCTGATCTCTTCTCGGATAGAAGAACGTACTATATAGCTGAATTTATATGGGAAAATAATCTGGAAAAACAGAAATATGAGAGAATTGATCTAGCAGTAGTTAGAAATCAAAATTTCCTGTAGTAAATATGTTCATATGGCGGCAGTGACTGATGGCGCCCTCTATTCTTCATTTGTTAGTTTTTTCCGAAAAAACCAAAAAGGTAGTTCGACAGGAAATTATTTTCTCTATCTACTGATATCAATCATATCTTTTGTATCGTTCAAAAACCAGCAAACCAATCACAGAGCGCATTTACTATTGATTCACTTTTTCCTCACTGCTTTGTAGGCTCAGGGTAGGTCCATAGCAAATCAAGAATTTGTGCGTTTTCTTCTTCGAGTAATCAAATTGCAGAGATGAATATCATCAAATCATTTGACTAATTGTTTTTTTTTTATGTTATACCTTCAGATATAATAAAAGGAAAAATGTTTGATGATATTAATCTAGTACAGTTATTGAGCTCATCTAAACCGATTGAAATAGCTCGTAATCTAACTGATGAACAGATACGTTTAATTTTGCCATCATTGCTTTGGCTTGGCTTACAACAATGCCCAAAAAATCATCGGCTAACAATATCAGCACAACTTTTACAAATAGTTTCACGTTTTCATGATATGGATTCGATTATTGAATTATTTGAAATTGATTTTCATTCATTAAATATAGAAATTAAACGTTTACAAAGAATTAAACAAAAAGTTTTAGAAGGAGGACAACAAAATAGTAATGTTTTAATAAATCAAGAGATTATTACATTTGAACAAACAACAGCTAGAGATAGATGTAGAATTGTAGCACAAATTTTATTTGATAATTACGATAAAGATCAACAATTATTAACAAGTAAGAGTTTATTTTATTCATTTTCCTAATGTCTCTAGAATCGTGTTGATAGTGTAATAAGTTTCGTTGAATACACATGATCAATAGTCAGAGTTTTACGACGTCAACAAATGTTGCTCTCCAACTTCTCAAAAAGTAGAGATTGGTTTCATGTGAGAATCTATGAACCTCATAAGTCTTTATAATATTCGTATAATTATAAAAGATTTCCTAAGTAACACGAGACTTCATGAACTTGGGAAGATTTCACTCGACGTTGCCTCTAACTGTTTTATAAGCATTTTTAATAGTGAGCGTGTTTCCATTACATACGATAAATGAAACCATGCTTATCAATCGAATATTTCGAAACCAAAGATATAAAAAATTCAATTGTATACTTTCTTAAAGAATACAACTAAACTGTGAAATCTGCCACGTGTTTAACGATAAATTAACCGATGAGCTGCCTAAATAACAGCTTGTAGTTATTGCTCTGAAGCTCAAATCGACCTAAATCTTCAAAGAAAATTCATCGGAAGAAACATTTGATGCCGCTGTATTCGACAAAACAGCAAAGAACTGATTGAAATGGAGACTCACACTTGGAAGTTTTTTCCTAGTAAGTAGATGAGCACTGAGTCCAAAAATATATTGAATTAATTATATGTCAGAACAGCTGCGAGTAATGCTATTCTTTGTAGAGACTCTCTGGTGAATATTCACAGCTGTTAGATTGCTTTCATCAGAAAACTATTCCCACCTGACGAGAGACCATTCGCTCGTGAGTGATCTTGATCAATAGTGAAGAAGTCTATTAAAATTTGATTCGACAATATCAACTTGATGAACGATACTCACTTCCCAGTTTTTCATTCTATTTGCACAATGCTCTTGTGAATCTAATCCTCGTATATAGTTTGACTTATGTCAAACAGGTAAACAATGTGTTTGTTCTTGTTCACATTGATAAGAGCTATCGATCGACGAATCTTCATCTTCCGTTGTATTTTTCAATTTAAATTGTAATTCTGTTTGTTTTTCTTTCTAAAAAAAAGGTCTTCTCGATGAACCAAATCATGTTCGCATCGTTGGTGATGTTATCTGTGTACTCGTACTTCATTTATCTCATTCATTTAAATTCGATATTCTCATCTCTAATGTTCTCTATTCAAAACATTCCTACGAATATTTAATTCGTCTTATTCTCAACATTCCAACATTAAAATTAACCATAGTTGAACTTATTGTACGTTGTTCATACAATGATGAAGTGCGTTATCGTATACTTCATACATTTGTCAAATTATATCCAATACACAAATTACGTCTTCTACGTTTATGCCATCAACGGCAAACACTGTTACCGTTAATTCTTAATTTATTAGATAATTCAACAGTGAACATTCTTCTTCTTATACTTTCGAATTCAAAACAACGAGTATGGTTTAAAAAAAATCAAACATCTGAACTTGTACATAATCTTATTACAAAACTCTTTGAACTCTATCGACTAAAACAATGTTCAATACATTCAATTTTTAAAATAACTGCAATCTTACATGTCCATTGTAATGTTAAGTAAGCTTTTCATTTTAAAATTCTAACCTCGCCTATTGTGAGGTTCTTATTTAGATTCTCATCGGATGAAGTTCAACACTTACTTGATTTATTAATTTCAAAAACGACCGATGTTACATTAGGCTTATGTTTTCTATTCATGGTTCCATCATTAGTTGAACGTAATGAACAGAAAATTATTGAATGGCTTACACCAACAATGTCATCAATATCAACGGATGATAAATTATTAATGATCGGACTTTTTTGTATGACAAATTATAATGAAGTAAGATATATAGAGGAAAAACAAAACAACTTTTTGATATAAATAAACATATATTTATATTTAGCCATTGAATGCTATTGTTTCATCTACACTTGATTTTCCTTGCCGAATTGATCCCGGTCATTTTCATCATTCGAGACTTTTACTTATTCAACGTGTTTTTACGAATGATTTGCTTGTTCAACGTTTTGCTACAATACAAATAACATCGAATTTAAATTCGCATATTACAATCAAACATATTCCAGCACATTTTATTTGCTATCTGTTATCAAAAGGTCTTTGTAATCAACATCGTGTACAAATGAGTTCGTGGGTTTGGTCACAAATACTTCAATGTACAACGCCTATTCATCCGATTATGTTAACGCTTATCAATGAACTAGTAACGACAATTGTTGATTCACGTTATCTCTGGCATTTAATACCCATAGATACGGATATGATACATAATTATTTAAAATCATCTGAAGATAATATACCAACGAAAATGCTTATTCTACTCTATTTACTTACATTGAATGATCAAGCTACTGGTGAAATGGCTAATCATTTTCATCAATCAACAAGAATACTTTTTGATCTTTTACCACTACCACATCTTGTCGAACAATTGACCACGAAAGATTACGATGCCATAGCTCCACAGCTTGGCAGGTAAACAACTAATTACGATAGGTCTTATTGAATGAGATGATTGACAAAAGTTGAATAATATCTTTCGGCAAAGTTAAGAAGAATTGTTTTCCTAGAATAAAATTCATTAAAGACAATAGCTATGAAGTATGTCAACACTTCTACTTGTAAATGGAGAACTAAATCAGGTTGATATCAGTTTTTCGCCTCAAAGGGAAAATATCTATACTCATTGAGATGTATGCACAAGGACAATCTATTTATATCTAGTTTTTTTCTCAGACAATCCTATTGTCGATTGGTGATATAAAATTTTTATAATTCGATGAATTAAATTCTCTAAACCAAATCTTATATTTTATAATACTTTTATTTAAGATTAATGATGGATCAATTACCACAAGTTTTTCTAGCTGATCATGCCCTGCATTTAGAAACAGGTATCGTTTTTTTTTTATATCTGATAAACTCAACAGAATAGAGGAAAATAATTTTGTTGCGAATTTTAGATTCTCAATTAATCTCATTACGTCATCGATCGAAAACAAATACAATTGAAAGTTTAACTGATCAATTAAAAAATACACTTGCGAATGGTATTTCACGTAAACAAGCTGACCGATGGCGTCGCCGTTGGTTTCGTGTTTATGCATTTCGTGGTCAATTGTAAGTGAAAATAATTCATTGTATAAATACAAAACAAAATTATGGTTTTCTCTCTCAATGAATAGGTTAACATTAAAAACAACTCAGATATTACTTGATAACAATCAAATAGCTTATGATGATCTATGTGCTGATCCTCATTGTTTACTTCGTTTTCCATTTCAAATTTATAAGTAAAACAAAACATCTGATCAATTTTTTGAATCCATACGTTTCTCTTCGCTTCTGTAGTTATCCATCTGTTATCCAAATTATTCTGTTTATTATGAGAGAAATACTTATTGCTAGTCGGCACTATTTTGAACGTATAAACAAAGGCAAACAACTACAACAACCATCGTCAATACAATCAGGTAGAATGTGTAGATCCGGAACGTATTTTTCGCAGCTTTTGTTGTTTCCTAATAGATATGATTTGTATACAAGATGTAAAATCTAAACAATTACAAGAAACATTAGTACATACACAAGAAGCACTTGTTATTCAAATTTTACTTGATGTTTTACATGAATATAAAAAAGTTTGTTATGATTAGAAATGATTATTATTATATTGAATTTTTCTATTTCAATAGACTGCGTGTTTACCAGCCTATCGAGAATTACAAGGAGTCATTTGCTCATTTATCCATCAAATGTTTATAACGAATCCAGTTCTCGCTAAACTTGTTCATTTTCAAGTAAATTCTAAAATGAATTATTTTTCTACCACTTAATTCTTATTACTCTAGGGCTATCCATCCGATCAAATCAAGCCTCTCATCTATAGTGTTCCATCAATGCATATATGTTTGGATTTTATTCCGCAAATGTTAGCTAGCAGTGAACTTGATACACAAGTAAGTTTAATAGAATAACGACTGTGTTATACTACCTACAGCATACAACAAATAGTAGATTAATATTTATCATAAGATTATTAAAATTATTATTCTGACCTTGAATAGTTTCAAATAATAAGGAAAAGAAAACATTTTGTTGTTATTTAGATCTTTGGTTTTGAACTACTCACTGATCTTTCATCATTTTATCCAATTCGAACAGCTTTACTTGTTGTTAAACTAGCCTTACAAGTCTATGCAACATTATTACGAGGTGAAGAAATCTTCAATAAATTTTTTCTCTACGACAAAATAATGATTTTCTAGTTCTATCCAATGATGATCGCCTACGATTTTTTTCGCGTACATATAAATTTCTAACTCAAATGAGTTCAATATTTCCACCATTAACACAAAATTCAGTGTATGTTCTTCAACAAGCAATACGTGCCTGTTCTTTAGTATGTTTGTATTTTTATTTACATATTAATTCAATATTTATTCATATTTTTAGCCACCATCCAATCTACCACAATTAAAATGGACATCAGATTCTCTAGGTCGACCACGAAGGATCGATATTTGAAAGTAAAAAGAAAAACAACGACACGAAATAATGCTTGTATCTGTTAATTTAAAAAACAAAACAAAAGCGCAATTCTTTATAAATAAAAATTTCAAAATAAAACTTAAATCTAATAAATCACCGAGTGAATACTTGATTGTTTCTTTGGTTTTTGTTTTTCATGTATGACTTAATTTTGATGATAATGTTAAATGTCGTTTGTTTTGTATTGATGGTATTGTTGAGCAAACTGATGTTGTTTGAATTCGTAAATGACTATTTGCAGTTCCTATACGACTTGGTGTTTTACGAGCACTAAATGTTGATCGACGATGAGCTTAATTGTTGAAAAACAAAATAAATGTGTATATATATAAGTAAAGTCAAATTTAATTATACCTGAAGATGCTGATCGAGATTCAAGTACACGAAGATGAAGGGATAGACTAGTAAAAGCAAAATAGGAAAATTTAGATTTGATAATAATATTTGATTGTTTTTCATACCTATCGACGGGTAAGCCTTTGACTCGTTCGCTTTCAAAAAATTTCACAAACTCCGATGACATACATGAACGTTGCCCACATTCAACTATTTTATCGTAGAGTGCTAAGAATTTAATAATAAAAGAAAAAAAAAAGAATGAAGGATTTAATTCAATAGAATATTTGAAACTGCTACTTGGATCACGTCGAACAAGATTATAGAGAAGTCGAAATGCTGTTTTATTGTAAGATAATGCGCCAATAGCTATAGCACAAGTACTATGCATTTCCACTTCGTCACCTGCATCTTCACTGGTTGCTGGAGGCGATGGAGTATAGAGTTTTTCAATTAGACGTTCAAGAACTTGACAAGAAACGAATCCGTCACTAATGCCTGTTCGAACGCGAGCCAATGAAGATATATACTTAGCTAAAAGAGCATTAGATATAAATTTTAAAATATTAGAAATCAAAGATCTTCCATCTATCCCGTAAATTTCATTCGCTTCTAGGGAGGGTATTTTTAGAATCGAGGAAATCTTTTTCTATGCCCGGAACAAATATCTTCAAAGTAGATTGATTTCTTTTTTATCACCAAATATTTGTTTTTGTATAACTAACACGAACAACCTTGAATATACCCCTAGAAGTAGTGAAATATTGCCTCATCTTATATGTATACTTTTTTTTTTATAGTGTATAATAAATCTTTTCGTAGCTCTTAAACATAAATATTTGTCTTGGATTTTAACTAATAAAAAGCGTTAAACACATTCTCTATATCGAATATGAAGATTAAAATAACCTAGTTACCTATTTGTGTAATTAAACTTATGTTAGTACTTAACAAAAGATCAGCAAGCTTCATAATCGCAAGTGCTGTAAGTGTTACTTGTTCATCTTCAGTATCGCCAATAACACGTGCAAGTACAATAACCTATAGATTGAAATACTTAAAACAAAAAATAGAATTCCACAAGATAACAAACTTGAAAACAAGCTAAAGCAGAATATGTTGCATCCGATGAATCAATAAATGTTCGAAATGAATTATAACTAATCTTATTGGTATCTTTAAAAATGCATTGATTTTCAAGATTATTATAGGCAAATAAAGATAAAGCTAATAGAGCTCGTAATTTTAAATCCGATTCATTGATTTCACTGAAACGTACAACAACATCTGCAACATTAAAATCATTCGATAATTGCTTTTGATTTGCACTATTGTTCAGTACAAGTCTCGCTAAAGATAGACAACATTCAACCTACACAAAAACAAAAACTTCATGAAAATAAAATATACATTTGCTTTCTATTCTACTTTGAGATCGACATGTTGCGTTGATTCCATCAAACGAATAATCATACTAATAGCATTGTGTTCAACAATAGCATTTTGTAATAAAGTATTTGGCGCAAGTGAAACACCTTAGAGAAGAAAAAATAGTTTAAAAGAATCCCTTTCATTCTCTCGCTAGACATACCAATGCATAGTACACTAAATGATTGAACAAGCACAAGTAAAACTCGATGTGATAATTGATGATAGTGTTTAAGTAAACGAATAAGTGGTGCGAGAATATTTTCTCGGTATAATCTATTTTGATTTGGTTCTGATTCGTCGGCTAATGCAATTACTGCATTCAAAGATACGTATTGTAATTTTTCGGAATTTGATAAAAGCATTGTCACAATATGTGGAATACCAAAGCATTCAGCGACATAACGTTGTTGGGATTTTATTTGGCCGCCAAGTGCCCATAATGAAAAAGCAGCTTGTTCGCGAACTTCTAATGCCCATTCTTCAGAACTACGGATCTAGGTAGAACAGAATGTTTAATATAGATATATCTACTAGGATATACTAGTGGTAAAAAAGAGGTATGAAGGAAAAAATTTCATTTCAGAGAGAACAACAATCAAGTGAAAACGAACAACTAATGAGTGCAAGAAAAACAGGAACGAAAAATCACATGACAGATATTTAAGGAAATCACTGGAGCAATATATATTGAACTTACGGTAGCAGCAACGTAGTACATTTTCTGCAATAAAGCATCAATGTAAATGATGTTAGTTTTTGAATATTAAATTTTAACATCTAGATTTGATTTTATGATTAGATTTATAAAAACAAATATGAAAACAGAATTTATTTTATCTGTTGCACCTGAATTACACTTTTAGTTATTTTTTTCTTTTTCTTTTTCTTATTTATTTATTTTTACCTCCATTAATTCGTTAAGTGGCTTTTGTACATTGAGATATTTCGATAAAAATTGCTTTTGATTTTCTAGATTATTTATTGCTAATGCTTCGATAGCCAACGAGCCTTTATAACGTATACCGAATTCTCGATCTTGCATAAGTTCAACAATTAGTTTAAGTGCACCTTTAGATGACGCTATGAGTTGATTAGCCATATTATTATATGTTACTGATGCTAACGCGGAAGCTACAGTGCCTCGTAGAATTTCTAATAGACAAAAAAAGAAATAAACGAAAAAATATTTTTATCCCGAGTTTTGGTTTTACTTGAATCAAGTGCAAGTAATTCAGTAAGTTTTTCAATAATGCCATGTTTTGCCAATTCATTTTGCATAAATTGATTTTTACGACAAAGTAAATCAATTGCATTACATGCATTGACAAGAACATCTTCAATAGGTGAATCGAGCATACGTGATAAACCCACGACAGCGTCTGATGCAAGAAAACGTTCCTTAAATCAACGATGAAAAATAACGAGAAAATACTTTTGGTTCGAATTTTAAATTAAGGTTTACTTGATTTGATGGAATAAAACATATATCAGCTATTAGTATGGATGTTTTCGAACGTATTTCATCATTGTGAAATTTTAATAAATTTGCAAACATTTCCGATAGATTGGTTTCAGCTGTTGATATTGCTACACGTACTTCTGTATTTGTTGATATATTGCACAAAACAGATAATGTTGACAGAATTAAATTCACATCGGTGATCTTCAGTAATCTTACAAGTCGTTGAATGCCATCTATTTACAAGAAAATACGAAATAAATTTGAATATTTAACTTTTTGTTTTTCATTAACCTGCTTCCAATAATGGACGCCAAAATTGTTCGCCATGTGTTGTCATTATATGTAAACATTGGACGGCAGCTCGTTTCATTGGTAGATCAGGATGAATGATTAAATCTTTATATTACAAGGAAAACAGAAATTCTATCAGTAACTACAACTTTCTAGCTAAATTGTAGGATTCTCATATTCTGTTTTTAACTTCATCCTACTGCGACCCATTATGTCAATCAGTTCAAGCAGATATTTTTTGCTCATACTCTACTTTGAGTTATCATATCGCACGAATCCATTGTATCTCTAAATGTCTTAAAATACTATTCTAACTATATCCGAATAAGCGTAGTACTAGATATAGTAACGATTTCGAAAAGCTGTGAAGATTCCTAGCACTCGATACCATATTTTTCTTTAGATAAAATGTGCGAATTTCAATGATATATTGATTCTACTTACCAACAAGTATAGTCCATGTTGGTACGAGTCGACTATTCAAACGAATGAAATATTCAATAACATTTGTATGTAAATTGCTAGCGGCTAAATGAATAACTGTATGTCCTAATTCATCTTTATATCCAATATTAGCATGTAATGAAACTAAACATTGAACAGCGTCTAATGCGCCTGATGTTGCTGCTAATAGAAGTGGTGTTGATTGGCGGCTATTATGAAGATGAATTATAAAACGATTTTGTCTGTTTCGAAATATTTTCTTTCATAACTTACCTGTCTTTGGTCGTTTGTTCAAGTAAATCCTGATGTTTATTATAGAGAAGTCTTATAATTGGAACATGATCACAGAAGGCAGCGTGATGAATAGGTGTCCATCCTAATAGTTCATTCTCAAAATGATCAATTTTTACCTTTAATATTCAATCGCATACCTTCATGATCAGTTTGAATTGCTGCCAAATTTCCTAGTAGGCAAGATGCTGCATCTAAACTTCCGTGACGACAAGCAAAATGTAATGGTGTACCACCTAATTATTTATATATATATATATATATATTCAAATAGAGAACTTGATGAAAAATTTATTATTGATTAGAATTTACCGTTTGCTACATAATTTACTTCTGATTTTGCATTAACATCAACACCTAATAGAATTAAAATACCAATAATAATTGGACGATTATGAATAGCCTAATAATCGATAAGAAAATATGCTTTTCGTTTTCAAAAACACACATATTTAAACTAACTGCATAATGCATCAGTGTAAGACCATCACGAAGATTCGGTTTACTTAAACCAGATGGTGGTGTTTTACGTGCTAGTGCTTGAAAAATGCATGCAAGGCCTCTTTGAGCAGAAACACGTAAACCATGTTCTGGATTCTGAATGAATAAAAAACAATCAGGAACAATTAGATGAACGTATACAAAATGAATTATTATAATAAACCTTGTAGTAGGTTGCTTTCTTTCGGCCAAAATATTTTTTATACATTTCATAGATGACTGTTTCATTAAGAAAACGTTTTTGAGCAGCAGATTCCACTGATTTTTGTATAACACGTAACCAAACTGGCGATAGACCATAGTAGGGTTCAATATCAACGACCAAATGATAGTATCTATATAATAATTAATGCATTAAGACAAGTTAAGATTTACAATTAAGCATTTCTACTAAAGAATATTTCTATTTTTCAGCTAATTAAATCAATATCACATGATTCGTAGACAGAATTTCGATATTTTTTCTATGGTTGACAAACAAGAAGAGTAGACATTTCTTATCTCTATGTTCTTGATACAGTACATAAAAGATTACCGTAATAAAAAAGGAACTATAATTCAGATATGTATAATCTCGATTGTAATGTCGACTTTTTTTCAGATATAACCACAAGGACAAATAGCAGTGATTTTAATGTCAAAATGTATTTGATTTTACTTTTAGTCTTAAATTTTAGCCACGAGCAATTTTGTTACAAAAGAAAAATTATTTTTTAGTATCTATTTTCAATGATGATAATATTATCGTCAACTGCTGATATTTATAGATATGCAATAGAAAGCATGTGTCAGTATCAAAAGTCATGCTTAGGTTTTATTTTTATAACCAAAAATGTCGGATCTACGATTTGAAAAATATATTCCGTCAAGCTGCAGTATAGAAAATTTAATAGTTTTCCGGTTTTGAAAAAAATTAAATTTACAAGGTTTTTCTTGCTATAGGTACTTCAATTTAGATTGTTACTGGGCACTTTAAATAATGAATTTCTTTTTTTTTCCATTGTTCTATAACGAGACCGTTCATAAAGAAAAAGATCAATTTCTATTAGTGTGTACTTCTCGAGTCATAAAAAAGAAACTTTGAAAATCGGTCAAAGAAAACTACAAAGCAATTTTATGACCCTGGACGTTGTCAAGCTTTCCGCTCTTTTGACAAGAACATATAAAAAAAGAATGCTAATAAAGTAACTATGACAAATGTTATACAATTAAATCCGGACAAAAGATATAAATTGAAGTAAACATAGAGAAAAACAAAACCGTTTTTATATTGTTTTATGACATGTGAGAAAACATTGAGTTTCTATATCAAATTCAGAAGTGATACGTTTTTTAAATGACTTCTCATACTGAAAAATAAAACTTAATACGCGCTAATTTAATAGCAATAAATCTACAGCAAAGTGTCGTCATCACTTTTAAGACATCTTATATGTTTGAAAGAGACCAGACAACAGTACGTAAAATTGAAATAAGACTCATAGCTTCTGCAACGATTGAACAGAATATATATATATTTGCATAGCAATAGTAAGAGTGAGTGAAAAAGAAAACGTTAAATAAGCACACTTATATCTAATGCTCTTCATTACTCGTCAAGGGCTTTTAGTCCCAAGGACAATATATATGAAGTAACAAATGTCTTCATATCGTTTACTGAATAGGAAACTAACAAGATGCTGATCATCCGTAATGTTAAAAAAGCATAGAAAACAATTTTTTTTCTATGTCATCTTCCGAAATCTTCAAGGTTTTCCTATTTCGTTAAAGATTTTTGAAAACATCAAGACTGTACTTTTTTCCATCAATTTCTACAATAGGCACGTGATATTCCATATTAGGTGAATTCGGTAAATCTAAATATCCATATAAAGTTCGACGAGATGCATCAAGTAATGATTCATTTTTTCCGCTTAATATCCTTTGAAACAAAACAAACAAAATTCCTTTTATATCATTAAAATCTATTCATAAAAACTTACTCTGCAAGTTTATTACTGAGCGAACCTGTTTCATATTCAAATTGAATACCCCCATGTAAATGAAACATGGTTTCTTCTTCGATAGGAAATATATTTGTTGATTGCTTTTTCATATACATAAATGGCGGAAGTTCTCGTTCGGTCCGAACGTCTTCACCTATGAACACAAAGGACGTAGGAAAATGTTAATTTATTTGTATTGTCAATTATTTAACATTACCGATAATCATCGGTAAAAGTCGATTTAAATTAGGGATTTTTTTCATCCGACGTTTAAGTCCAACAAGTAGAGAAAATAAGAAACAAGTAATTTCAAGAAGATAAATATATTTTCGAACTTCAGTTTTCGATGTAAAAGTTCGACGTAAATAATTTTCATGAACTTGAAGTAAAGCTTTTAAACGTTGAAATTGTTGATTATCTAGTCTATTTACATAGAAAACGAAAGCTCGTTACATAATGTGAAAATTAAAATAGAATTTTTACTTTTCTTGAATAGTTTTTATTTGTGATTGTATAGTATAATTTCCGTTAAACATTAAACAATTTTTCAATTGTGACACTTGATCAAGATGAAGTGTTAACACCATCGATAGGTCATCAGCGTACGATGCCAAAAATTGATCATCAGATTGTGTTTGATCTTCTGATTTTGGTTCTGGCTGAAAAGAATTTTTTGCTTCACTATAATCAACATCTTGACTTATATCTTGTAAGCCTTAAAAAAGTTAAAAAAATGAATATTCATATATCGTTCAAATTAAAAAAAACTGAATACCTGCTGCTTCAAATTCATGCAATACTGAACGTGTTATTGAAGCCTCACCAGTATGACGCCAGCGGTCGGCAAATTTCGCGCGTTTTTCTCTCGACATAAAAACTCCGTGCCAAACGGATTTTAGCCAAGCATCACAATTGATCATAATTTGTCCGAGACGAGTATCGAGAAAAGCTAATTTGACAATAGAATAATTATCGTCATACGTGCATAAAATAATTACCTGTTGGTATTTGACATGTTGAACTAAGGTCAAAATTAGCTTCAAGACTTAAGGTGGGTTGTGCATTCAAAGAATAAATAGCAATTGTTAATTCACGTAATAATTGATGAACTTCTCGAGTATCAAGAAGCGGAATATCATCATCAACTGGAAATAAAATATCGATGTGAGATTCACTAAACGCCTGGAGTTGTCGAATCAATCCAGTTGGATGTTCAGTTGGCGTCTAAGAGAATTAAAATAATTTTGAAGTTTAGAAAATTTTAATTAAACATAAATACTTTATAGATATCTGCATTTGTTAGCAGCCAATTAGTTTCACGTGCTGTAAGCAATTCAGTTATTTCCCATTTGTCAAATTTAGAAAATAAGTCATACACATTTCGCACGGATACTTGGTCCATAGAATTTTGAATAACAAGATCAGGCCTATCGGCACCAGTGGACGCTGATGGCGAAGCATGACGTGCTCGACTTACTTGTTTTGATGGTAATCGACGTTGAATATTAAAGGCTGTCGATGCTCTTTGTTTAGTATGCACTCTTTCCATTCTAAGACAATTTTGATCTTCTCTCTTTTTTACCTATACAACTTTTTGTTGACTACACACACACACATATATAAAAAAAAATAACAAAATTTCTCTTTACTTTCTCTGTTTTCTAACTGTAACCATCTTGACTTCTTTCGTTCTGTGTCGAGCAGGAGTACCCTCCATAGAATAAAGGTGTTACGATGCAAAAGAAAAGAAGACAAACAAATTGATTGCGTCGCCGTTTTTCGATCTTAGAATTCTCTAATAACCCAATTTTCTTATTCAATAATTAGCCTCGAGTTTTTTATTATTCGAAAAATATCTTTTTTAAAACAGAATTCCATTCACTACTCATGATCAATATTAACTCTTCTAAAAATAGCAGCTGTGATGTTCTTATCGAGTGTTGTTGCTCGATGAGAAATCTGAAACTCGCAGACAAGATCAACGCCTTCAATGTTCTACAATTTTTTATTCTCTTTTTTTGGTACAAAAATAATTCTTTGAAGTATATTTTGTTCTTAAATTTATAAACACAACATTGTCTGTATGCAAACAAATGAAATGTCATCGAACAAAGAGAAATTGTAGCACTCAAAGAGTCGATGAAAAGACAGAAAAAAAATATTATTTCATTTGATTATATCACATGGATACGTATATATGGCGTTTTTTTGTATTAAAAAATATAATTAAATTCTTTAACAATAGAAAAATAAATGAATACGCACGAACAATATCAATTGTTATTCATAAGGTCTCATACAAAAAGAAAAATCTATAGGTTCCTACTCGAAATTTTCTTCAAGTTGATTTTTCATATATTCCGTTGCTGCTAGAACAATTCAATCATAAAGACTTTTGTTCTACTCAAATGATTATTCAGAAAATGATTTAAGCAGCGTCATAGAATAAATGGGAGAAGATTTCTCTCCCTGCATATGTTTCCGTTTGCAAAAATACAACGTCGTAGAGTGTACGTTTTGCATTACTCGATAAAACATTTTTAAGACAAGTCTTCAGGCTATAAACATTGCCAAAGAGTTGTATTGATGTCTTGTTAATAAGTAATCTATTTCTTAGACATGAGTAAATCTGAAGAAAATCAGTTTGATGAAAATGGGCACGTTCTGTTTAAGCTGAGTTTACCCATATAAATATCATATTAAAGGAAAATATCTGGCAATATCAATTTTTTTCTCTCATCTGTTATGAACGATGAGATGAACGATAGTTTAAAATTCACGTTAATTAAAAACAAATATTGTTAAATAAAAAAATTTGCTCGGTATTTAATGGATCATATGCACGCAATTTAAGGCCATCCCTTCTACTGAGATACATAAATAATTTTGCTTGTAGTCGTACGTTTTCGATCATTAAATATTTTTAAGTTTCATCCATTGTAATATAACGAATAATCCATTCATAATTCTGAACCTAGTTATTTTTTACAAAATAAAGCGGAGGAGTTAAAAATTATTCTAATAAATAATTAAGTACGTTTCTTATTCGTGAGCAGAATTCGATTTATGTTATTTGACTGGTACAGACACAAAAAAAAGTGCATTTATGAATATAAAATATGTGCCAGAAAATTCTATTATATAAGAACGGATATCTTTTGTTTAATTCAAAATGATTATTAATTTTAATACAATCGAATATTGTAATAATATCAATTTATTACGTCTGTAGATTACAAGCTTCTTGTCGAACAAAGTAAAACGTCTTATTTCATAGATATCAGCAAAACAGTGATAGATACACATTTTTTTCTTTCGTTCATTTTAATACAAAATAAAAACTTTTCGAATTATAATAACTGCTATTTGACATTTTCTTCCTGGCGTATTTTCACATATCAGAAATTTATTCAACAGTATGTATATGTGTCGTATCGAAGTTACACCGGTCGACAAAGTTATTTATAATTCACTTATCAATAAATAATTTACCAAAATGAATATTCTGATGCTGAATGCATGATAAAAAATTAAGTTTTTCTAACATTTATTTTACGATATCGTTAAAAAAATGAGTATCTGCTAGAAAAAACTTAATTTTTTATCATACATTCAGCATCAGAATATTCATTTTGGTAAATTGTTCATTGATAAGTGAATTATAAATAACTTCGACAAATTTCTCTGTCGAAGTTATAACTTCGTCGACCGGTGCAACTTCGATACGACATATACATACCTAAGATTGCTTTTGTTTGAAACACCTTTCGAAGACATATTGAATACATGCGCACTACTGTTCGTCGTCTATTGACAATCAAAAAAAAAATGCCATATACAACATAGTCTACATGTAGACAAATAATATTCAGTATCGTTTTCATACAGTTTGTCATTTATTCTGCCTGAAAAAATTCAGTCAGATCGAATTAATGATGGATCGATTTTGAATGATAGGAGCCTTTTTTCCTCTTTCTTTTTTTCTTCACTTAGTTCCTACCTGTACGATACAAAAACTGTGGTGTTATTATTCATTTGATATTATTTCTCTCAGTCTCATCTTTCTCATTCTCGAACAATCTTTATTGTTTCTGATATATCAAATGACATTTGCTTGTCGATGATCGACTTTGAATACATATTCTATCCTCGTATGATGATTCGAACAAACTTTTAAGAGAAAAAATCTTTTTATTTCTTAAAAACGAGAAATACTAAACCTCAAGAACAAATAAAAAGTAGCACCAGACTACACTTAATAAATATAAAATATTATCCTGTTATATGATCCTTTGTGTGTTTTCTTCCTTTTCGTCTCTTATACAATGCTTAAAAATACTGCGACTTAACACAGATTTTCTTTTGATTGTTTTCTTATTCTCTTGACATAGCACTTGTCATAAAAAGTGTATGATATACAACTCGGTTTATTTAAATGTTTCACACACGTTTCAGATATTTACTTGGAGGAGGAGTATCACATTTTTATTCCGTTTTTTCAGGTACTGTACCAAGGAAAACAAAAAATTATATATTTTCATCAGAATATCGAATTATATTTTCTTTTCTCTTTCTTACTTAGGATTTCGCTCTTTTTCCTTGCTTCTCATACTTCTATGCATTTTAGGCTTATAAGAGACGATTAATCGTTTGGATCATTGAGATATTTCAAAGATGATGTGTGATATGGCTTTTATTCGTTATCTGCTCGTCTTTCTATTGTTGTCTGCATCAATACATGCGCAAGACACAGCAACTACTGAATTCACAAGTATATTATTTTTACTACTCGATGCTCATTGAATCTTTTCTAACGAGAATGAAGATTCAGATATACGTATCCTTTCAGTTGTACTCATGAATTTTATTGTAAGGGACCCATGCTTTACATTATTCACTTTGCATTCTAAACTACACCAGTCAGCTAATAGACCGTAGGTAGTCGATAAAGGCAACTATTTTCAATATAAGATAATCTTTTTAAGTTGATGACAAGATTACATAACTAAACAGAGCAAATAACTATCGGCTGAAATCATATAAAATAGAGTACTTCTATCCCAGGACGAGCTTTACGACGTCCGTATACGGTGAAATACGGGCCGTATACGACGGTAAATCGCCGTATTTGGCCGTATTACATGGCTCCGTATTACGATCGCAAATCTCCGTGTCGTAATACGGTGAAATACGATCAAAAACGACCGTAAAGCGCCGTATTTCGCCGTATACGGCACGGAGATTTACGATCGTAATACGGAGCCATGTAATACGGCCAAATACGGCGATTTACCGTCGTATACGACCGTGTATGTTCGACCTGGGTACTGATAAAAATACTACTTTTTACTGATAAAATGTATTTTTGAAACAGTAAACTGAATTAATTACTGAAACTCTAATTTTAATACTGAGCAAACAATTAATTAACTGAACAA